CGTGTTGCTTCGCAGGAATTGTGGAGAATTTACAAATCGAAGTTAATGCTCCTCTCAGAAGAATATCAGAAGTATGTAGATGTAGGCGACGTGTAGCTAACCGTGATGTCAGTCTCTCCTTCGCACGAGGTTGGAGATTTCCTACGTATGTTGTACTGCAGGACTGTCGATATACCTCTTTCTTACGCTCCATACCCTCTCAACTCTTAATGATTCCAGGGGCTTTTCGTAGGATCATGGCACTACTGCAGAATGCCATCAGAAATTCAAAGAACGTAATTTCCGATACCTCGAATTTTACGTCCTATTCGACAAGGTTGTGAGGTCATCAGTACAGTGAGACTGCATGCTTGGCAGACAGTACTTCGATGGATTTCACTCAGAGTACATACAAAATTTTTCATTTGTTTCTTAAGAGACTGGCTCCAGAAAAGTTGAGCTTTCCATGAAGCGGTTTCTTGAACAATCTTGATTTCCTGGTTGCTTTTGTACTATAAAGCATTCATCTCTTGTAACCACGAGGATTCGAGTGCTTGGGTAGTACAGTTTACGTGAAGGTACAATATTCTATTCAATTTGCTTGGATGATGTGTTTATTTTTTTCTTTTTCTATTCGTGAGTCCTGGATTCTCACGTGGATTCCTATCTACATCGAATGACTGGAGCCTGAGTGTTTTATGGAGTCATGTAGGTTGTTTGTAAACTATGAATTGTACTCCCATCCAGCTAGCGACAATACTTTCAAACAACTGTATTCTAATATCTCAGAAATGAATTTCAAAGATCTAAAATTTGATATCCAGCCAGGTGGACATTTTATGCTGATTTTACACTACTTGGCTTGCCATTGCAAGAGACAAATTGTTGCGTGGATATCATAACCGTGAGGACCTTTTATGGCGGCAGTTGATTTTAAGGTAAAGATGATTTTACTCGTAATGGGAGAGTCTTGGATCCACTTATAGCACTCATCAAAGTACTTTCTCATTATCTTTCTCTTGATTTTAGTCCTTTCCAAGTTTTTCACTCTTCTACATACACATAATTTTAATCATTTATCCTCATTGATTGTCTTCTAAATTGTTTTCGGCACTGTAAAGTCAATTGAAGATGAAAGAATAAGCTTTTCAAAAAGCTGCCAAAGGTGTAGATTTATTTCAACGTGTCTTATAGAACTTGTTATATATCTGTCCAGAAATAAATGTGCCCCACTTTTTGTTCTCGTTGATTTAGAATTGGTGGGGGCCGCGCGAACGCGAGCCCTCCGCTGCAATAAATTATGACGCGCATTTTCCCCTTGGGGAAATGCTACGACTTGCCCGGCCGTAGTGCAATGGCGAGGCTCGTCCTAGGTCATCGCCCTTCCGGATCAGCGATAGGCCCCGCCCAGGTAAGTATGCATCTTCCTCTCCCGACCTGGATCTGATTGTTCCGAAGATGTCGGATTACGCTCATAGTGTATGGTTTCTATCGAATCTACAGTGCTCTTCTTGGGCTTAAAAACTCGTGGTTGCAAAGTTCGGAAAAAACAATCTCTAAATTTTCTTCAAATATAATCCAATTCCAAGTTTCGGTACTTCAAAAGAGTTTCGGGATACGAGTCCTCATCATGAGAACATGCAGAACTAGCAATAAAATAGAATTCCTGAACCTGTGTAGAGAAATTTCACTATAACATCGACTATGATTGAAACATTGAGAATGCAGTGGAAGCAGATGAAAATTCAAAAATAGCATCTGCTCAGCCAGAATCTGATCAGGCCAAGAGTAAAATAATTTTTAATTTTGTATAAACCCTAAATAATTTTTGAATGAGCGAGGAAACAGGAGACAGAGGCACAATCACACGCTGCAGAACGAGTGGCAATGCAAGTTGCAAGTTATATGGGGAAACTGAAAACGGTAAAGGTCAAAGACAACAGAGTTCAAAGCATCGAGCTCTAGGAGTTCGGCTGAGGCTTCAGAGTAATCCCGTTGATTTGTTCGTTCTCTAGTCGCTCGACTTGTCTCCGTCTGCTTGCATTATGTATTGAGCGAACTTGATTGTTTTGAATATCAGAAGAGAATATTTAAAACTTAAGGACTTTTGTGTCGTTACTGGTTTATATCAACCTTTCTGCTAGAAATGATTATATTTCTGTTGAAAGATTATTAGAGCCCCTCTCTTTTTGTGGAGGAGAGTATGAATTTTGATGAAGTTATTTTTATCTTCAATATCAATTTGTTATGCTCTTTGCGATGGATGAAATCACATATAGGAAAAATTATGGAATTACACAAAGTTTATATAATGAAAAACTTAATTTTTGACTTTTGACTCTTCATATGAATGAAAACACGATGATGATAACAAAATTTGTTGCGTAAAAAAGTAAAATACCTAGTAATCTGAAGCATTCATTTATTATGCGTGATTGGATGTAAATATAAATTTTATTTTTGATTAAAATAACGAGCGCATGAAAAATTTGCATGAAAATTATTTATGAAAGACTAAATTAAAAACCAAAGGAAGAATTTTTTTTATATAATTTCTAATTCCTAGCTTTCAAATTATGTGAAGATTTCATAATTAGCTTAGATTAATAAAGTTTATAACTATAATAGATGACCTTTCATTCAATGACTAGATTATGATTTATGACATATATAGCTATAAAGTTTGAATTATTGAATTTAAGTTTTAATCAAACAATTTGGAAACCAAAAATATACTTTTCGTATGACAGTTCCAAAAAGATAATCTGTAAAATCTGTAAACTAAACGGGTTATCTGTGAAATCATCTTTTTGGAACAATAATTCCAAATTTTCTTCATAATTTGATCATTAAAAATTACTCAAAAAATGATATGAGAAAAGAGTACATTGCTTGTTTTGAATTTTCAAAATTTAAAAATCACAATAAAAATAAATAAATAAAAATAAATTATACAAATAGTTCAAAATAATTTTTCAAAAATAGTATTGTTCTCATTGGTATTCAACTTTGGGATTCAATAACAGTATACATGCAAGTGTAACATTTTTAGAAATAATATAAATATTCAAAAAATCCTTATAAAATAATATATCATACATTTGAAACTTTCAAACCATGCAATAGAAGGTCTAAAATTAAAAATTGAAATAATTTTATTTTTAAATTTACTACTAGAATTATTAATATTAATTTTATATAAAAATATGGTTTGAAAAAGCTGATTAAAATTATTTTAGAATATGTTATTTTTTCCAATAGAATCATTAGTTTTTAAAATTTTACGAAATCGGACATAAAAAAAATTCGTTGAAGTAACAAATTCTTAATTTATAGATATCTTTCTTGAATATCAGAGATTCTGGAAAAAGTTTGTCAATCATTTTTGGAAAATTCATTCAATTTTATACTTCTCTCAAAAATAAAAAAATTACTCTTCATAAGATTATTAAATTATGAGTAGATCTATTTAAAAAAAATCATATCTATATTTCGCCAATATGTGATAACAGTATATAGTGGTATCATTTTTTTTAATAAAGTGTGTTGTTCTGATGTAACTATGTCAAGTAGATTAGTTTTACTTTCAGTGATGTATATTATTGAGCATGAAAAATAATATATTGTTCTGTGCATTCGCTTTGTTCGTGGTGCTGTTGTTCAAAGTGGAAATATTCATTTGATGTTGACAATGAGTTCTGCTTTTAGATAAGCATGACTTGCAGACATATGAGATTGGGTGAGTGATTGCAAAATGGAAAGTGTTGAAGTTGTCGCCGTGTTACATCATCTCCACAACATGCCAATTCTTGCAATTTCAATCTACTGCGAAAGTAGAATTTCGAGATTCCCGATCTAGTCGATCAGCAGCTATTGAAGGTTATAACAATTCCTGCCAACAATCGAAATGATACAAATCTTGAAATCCGCAAATGAATAAATCTCCAGTTGACCTGGTCAGAACTTGAACCCAAGAGATACGCTAATGATATCTCATTCATGAGCCCGATCCGACTGAATGAACCATTGTCCTGAGATTATGTTTCTTAATCTCACGACAGAATGTATCACATGATTCATGTGACACTTTTGACGTCAGATTAGAAAACATGCTGGGAGTGAACAAGGGCCACGCGACATGACCAGGGTTTGACAGGCATGGCTCAAAACCACCGGGTGACCCCGGAAATGCGCCACAAAACGTTCGGGGCTACGCCCCGACGTTTTGACTAGAGCATTCTTGATTTCTCGGGGTCGCCCGGATATTTTCGGAAAAAATTTGCGGGGGTTCTCAGTGGATTGAAAGCTATTGAGTCCGCTATTTACGTGTGAGTGCTCCCAAATTTTTTTCAATAAAATGACATTTACAACGGGTGTCCCCGGGTTTAACCCTTAAAATCCTCCGGGTGTAGCCCCCTCTTAGCAAGAGTGCACCAGCGGATTCCTCCGGTTGTCCCCCTGTTTCACCCCCTGTTCCGGAAGTAAGTTATCTATTCCCGGGGGAATGTCAAACCCTGGACATGACGCTTGTTCAATGCCAGCAGTATCAAATCGATCGAATCATTTCCACGCAGAGGATAAGCAATCGGCGACAGGTGGACCGTGCGGTGAAAAGCGAACCATACAGCGGACAACCAGAACTCCACGCAGTGAGATGATCTTAAGAATCACTGTAATTCAACGGCGAAATCGCAACTCGGCAGCAGAGTTTGAGTTGAATCTACGACCTTGCTATTTTGATATACAATTCAATCGGAAGTGGTTGAATGACTCCCGTGGGGTGAAGTTTGCAGTCGAATGTAAAGCGGAACAAAGCGCTTCGCATCGAAGTCATGTCTTGTCCAATCGAGCTAAGCTAATCACCTCATAAAATGTCAAGCTTGAATTCCTAGCTATAAAATAGATCTGTAATCATGTCCGATGATTCGTTTCCCTTTCGGACGCTCACCTAGATCGTCGGTCAATCAGCCATTACGTTAGTCCTCGACTGAGAATCTTGAAAGCAAGAAATTGCCTTTCAATTATCGCCTGCAAGACATTCCTCCGTTCTTGCTGCTGCATACAACGGGCGATTGCATGACGCTAGAAGCAGCCACGGCGGAATCGACATCGCCGTCGACGGAGAATTGGCTGACCATGCAATCGGCAGATAGCAAAGAAGAGGTCAAGTACTTTTCATCTCCGCCCAGAATGGGCATGGGGACATCGGTCTTGACGGTGGTCTTGAAGTTAGGTCGATAAGTCTGCCCTAACACTCCGTGCGCGGAAGGAGACAGGCCGAAGAAGTTGAATTGCATCTGCAGATGCGCAAAGCGATCCTCGTCCGTGACCTGATAGTTGTGCACTCGGCTGTCCGCGTCCGTGATGGGAACCACGTCCAGAGACACCTCCATGAGCTCGTGGATCATAACGTGCGCGCTGTTGGTCTCGCTGGTTCGCTCGATCACGACTTGCCTATCGGCAGAAACCCAGATAGCGCCGTCGAGCTCGGGGATGTCGATGTCCGCTCCGTCGTAAGAGAAGGTCAGTTGGTCGACATTGTCGTCCCACACTCCCACCTTCTTGGCAGCGATGGAGAGCTTGTGGGAGTCGAACATGATGCCCAGGCCTTGGACCCACGTGTAATCTCGGTGGCGACCCTCCGGCCGCTTGCCGATGAAGTGAGCATTGATGTGCAGATTGCGATCGGAGACGATACAGAAGTTCTTATCCTTCTGGCCGTGGAAGTAGAACATCACACCGTCCCCTCCGATGAAGCGAGGGTCGTAGCAAACCGCTCCATAACCGAAGCAATCCAGCTTCCTGTGTTTGCAGGTGGCTTCACATTTCAGGCAGTTCAGGAAGCACGCTGACTTTCCAGGGGCGATGGTTTCTCTCTTCCTACAATTTTCGGGACAAGTGAGTAATTTGTATAAGCAGTTCTGTGACAGGCAATGTGCCCGATCTGGACCTCCTGCTACCTGCGTCTCCATTACGTAGTTTGTGGTTGGATCTCCCGCAGAAGTGTCTGCATGCACTTGGAGCTCAAGTGCCAGGAAGAGCACTGCAAGACCACTTAGGATGATCGCAACACGAGCCATCTTCCAGACTCCAAAGAACGGAACGAAGAAAGACAAAAGATCGTAGACTGGGTCACAACATTACCGAATAGATCGAAACCTCTACGAGAGTTGTCGTCAATTCTGCTCTGCTTGATAAGTCTCTGAGAGAATGTGCTTAAATATGAGAGGTTGCGGAACAATCTGACCAGAACACAAGCTGATGATTCCGTTTGTGCAGTGTTTTCAAAAATTCCCTCAAGTCCATGCACCGACGGTTTTCATAGATCAGTATAACATATTTTTCTCGATTCGCGGTTTTCAATTTCGTATTTACTCCATCATTCCCGCGAGGATAGATGCTCTCCTAGTCGCCCGACAAGTTGCCACTTCACAAGGGGCTGAAATACCGCTGAATTCCCCAGATCTGTGTTGTTTAGCCCATTGAGCGGAATGTCGACAGCCTTAAACTTCGAGATTTATTCTTTGTTCCCTGAGTGATGGATCCTTGCTCAACAGAAGACGAGGAACAGGCGCCGGAAAATCTTCCTCAATTTTCACAGTCCAATAGACGTCAGCATTTCTTGCATGGACCACAACTAAGTGAATAGTCATGGCCAGCATGAGCAATCAACCAAACTGAAGGTCCGTGGATTCCGTGCACTGAGGATTTCATATATCCATCGGGAGAAATTGTTTTATTGCTCACTATTTCATGCTTTGAGAATTTAGAGACGTCTTGAGTTGAAAACTGGGAAAAATCACTCTTCCCTTCTCTGATTGGCCTGAGAGTGAGCTAGTGCTTGCACAGACCTTCATCGTTTCTACGTGTTTGGACGATGGTGGCTGATCTATGGCTCTGATATATTGTTATTTCATTTCATGCAAAATGTTGCATGAACGCCAGGGACTTAATTTAAAAAAAAATTGGTCAATCATATGGATCTCTCTACAAGAATCCCGTAAAGGTAGAACGGGAATATATAAAGGAAGAGTGGGGACAGTTACCAACAACAGGTAGCAGTCTTCAGAAGGCAAATGAGACCGATCTAAAAGACAGGAAGAGAGCTTCCAGAAAAAGGAATGAAACTAAGGTTTCTCTTGTAAGCATAGAAGTCTGATGGAAAAGAGACCTTGCATGGACCCTGATGGGCCAAATGTCAGTGAAATTGATGCAAGACGAGGACAGCAGAATAACTCGGTCCGTTACTGGGAAAGTTCCTTCGTTCGAGAGGTGGGGGAGAGACAAAAACAATTTTTGCCGGGAGTTAGTTCTGTATAAAAAGAGCTGATGCCCACGTTCGAGTTGAATAAGACGAGTTTGGAAGGTATCTCTCTTTCATCCTAATCCTGTACAATGGTGCACGAAGCCACTGGGCCAAAAGAACAAGGCTCTACGCACATGCTTGTATCATGCATTTGTTCCGAAAACCCTCTCCTCTTCCTACTCCGCCTTGTTCGGCATGGACTTTTGGGATGTGAAGGGTCGAAAGCCGAGATTTGGTGTAAGACTTACTTTTCTATCGACTTTATTTAAATATCACTGCCTGCCTGCTAGCTGCTGATACTGACTTGCATATCATGCTTGTGAATACAGGTTTTTTTCCAGAAAAGGGGCCCTGAAGCCCTCTGAGAGCGAGACAATCATAATAGTCACACCTAGGATGCTAGAATGCTGATTTCCACAGGCCAGCGAGTAAAATGTACGGTTCTGTCGAAGTTATGTGAACAGTCCGCAGGGTCTACGATCTAATCCAAATGTTGCAGGAGCGCACTCCCAGGTCCAGGAGCACAAACTTACAATCTGGATTAAACAATAAAGTATTCCCACGATCTGACCTTTGGACTGCGACATCTACATGTCACTTAGTGTAGAAGCATGGAGAAGTTTTATAAATTTTGAACTGTGAGAAGAGCAATAAAATGACGTTGAGAAGTCGGCCATGTATCAAACTGAATCTGTTCTCGTTGTGTTGTGTCGTGTTGATGATGGATCAAAGTTCGAGCCCGATTTCGCACCACAGTCTAACGTTGAAGCCTTGGGTGTCGTTTTCTGTCTGTTATTACAGTTGATGCTTCTTTAAGTTTTAAATTTGGCAGTCCACCTTTGAGAAAACTCGACCAGGCTTTGTATCCTGGACTAATGCCAGCTCTCTGACTGGGGCATCAAAGCATCTGAAGAACTCAGTCCAACGACCAAACTGGAGGAGTACGATAACACAGAAGAAATAGAATCCATCTCCCACCTGCCAGTGGGCTCGATCTAGGGCAAGAGCAGGAACGTCATGATTACTAGCAATCGACCGGGCTGTAAATGAATTCTCCATATTTCGACTGATATATTGGAGAGTTTTTGTTCTCCTGCCGTACTTGGAGTACATCTGAAATAATCTCCCAATGGTTGAAGATGGCGAGCTCAAAACATCACGAACGACTGCTTGCTCTCCATCATATGCATAACAGTCATGAGGTACTTTTTCGCCCTCACACTTGAATGTACATTTGAGTATCAAGATGGGCATCGGGTGGGCCCGCAGAGAGTGGATCGCAATGGATAAGAGGATGGATTTGGGTTCGGAAGTTAGAGAGTAGCCTTTTCAGTTTAGTCCACACTTAAGGTGCTCTCTTTATCTGTACATAATCTATTCTGCACATTTCTGCAACCGGAATTGCTTTTATATCAAAATTAATTACTATGACATTCATCCTAATGTCACGCGTTAAGTGCTGGGGGAAGGGAAGGTACAAGAATACTTAAACAGTCCACCGTTGGTCATATGATTTAATTAGAAAATCTAAGGACTAAAAACCAAATTAAGACACTATGAAACTTCACACTTGGAGGTCTAGTTGGATTTCTAATTTTTTGGTGTGAAGATTATTGGTAAAGTATAACAAAATGTTCTTGATGAATTGAAGCAGGTAGGTATTGATAAAATGAATTGAATCGACACCGTTCAAAGATGTTTAATGATGTACATTTTGTCTATTGAGAATCTAATCCACGTGATGTATTCTATGTGTTTATATTTTTTTAGTATTCACAAGCGTTTCTACCTTTATCAGAACACTGAACACCAAAATTTTGCGAAGTCTTCAAGCTTTTTTGTATGTGCTTTGTTGATGATGTAGTGTCACAATATAATGTAATTATTTGTGGCTGTCAGGATGGCTTCAACAACAGGATAAAATAAATCTATATAATAACAGTTTTTGGTATGAAATTGCTTCTATTGAAACGTAACGCATAAAAGGTTACCTGCATCTCGGATGTCAACCCAACAATGTATTTCACATTGCTCCCGTTTTCTTTGCTACTTTCTTAAAACCCACCAAATGTAGCAAGTCTAAAGCAGATTCTAGAAAGCTACTTTTGATTTTTGGAGTCAATGATCCATTTCCTGATCATCGTCTCCTTTTCAAAAAATGGTCACTTTTCTCTCTAAGTAATAATTGTTTGAAAATAAATACTCTACACTATGAATGGAGATAATGGGTAAGGGAGCTCAAGTTCATGGAATTATCAAATTCATGTAGAGATGTGCTTTATTCTATATTGTTCAAAAAATGGAAAGAAATGTTTGTTATTCTGAGCCGTGAACCAGGCAGGGGAGGGGTTCAGGGTTTAGCTGCTGCAGCACCACATCTAGCTGGAGGGCCCAAGCTGAGAGGCAGCGAGCATGACTGGTGGCAAACACGGAAGTTGCAGCACGCCGAGGAGAGTCTCTCTCTCATGACCGTGCTGATTATCCAATTTTGCGATCAGGTGCTGTTTTCCAGATGTTGGCAGATCCTTCATGATGATGACTCGGAAGAAAACCCTCGAGCTTTTGCGGAAATCTCGAGCTTTGTGGTATAGTTCTTCCGCGACAACATTCAATCCTCCCCCTCTACTGCCCCAACGACGAGTCGTCGTCACAGGTGCTCCAATTTTGCCTTTAATTTTGCCCAGCTGGTCGTGCCTTCGATATTTTGGCGTCTTCAAATTTTCTATCCTCTGTAATCTCTTCTGTTTTGAGAAAGTACAATGAATTCAGTTATGTGTTATTAATTTGTTATCTCTTTGAGATTCAATTGAGTCAAATCAGAATTTGATTTGTTGGATTCAGCCTCTGCATTGCCTCTGGAAAATTGCAATTGTTTCCGATTTAAGATAGCGATCTTATTATCCGTGTTTTCCACAGGTTTGGGCCTGGTGACTCCACTCGCAACTGGGGTTCATGCTAGTTGGGACCGGTTGTTGAATCTGCAGTCGGGAATACGGTCCCTCCAGCCGAGAGATCTAAAGCTTAGTGGAGTCGAGGATGATGCTATCCTTCGCATCCTTGCACAGTTGCCATCGCGGGTAGTTGCCACAGTGGCATACGGCACAGCTGAAGATCAATTCAATGCTGATAGATGGTTAGGCCAGGTCTGTTGGACTTCAACCATGAATGCAATAAGAGAACTCAATTGTCATGATGCAGTACCCTCCACTAGTCTTCTGTAGGAATGCGTATTTGACTTTTGACATGCGTTTTTTGTACGAATCCGTTATCAGGAGACGAGTCGTATATCACCATTCATCTCTTATGCTCTTTGCGCCGCGGAGGAAGCTCTATCAGACGCAGGGTGGAAACCCGAAGATCCAGAAGATCGTGAGAGAACTGTATGAACATTTTGTCATCGTTATTAAGCTAATATTTAGGTTTTCGGTGATTTTCGTATTACACGTTGCTAGCCATGCAACCTTGCTGTCCATAGACCGGAAAATCTGCTTCATCTCTGTATTTTCTTTGATGCATGATTTATGCTGACATTACATTGATCTAGGGTGTTGCCATCGGAGGTGGCATTGGGTGTATCAGTGAGATGCTGGGAGCGGCCCGGCTTGTGAAAGAAGAGGTAAGCAAATGCTATTGGTGGATACTGAGAATGATGATTACAAGTCACGAGTGAGCATCAGCTGCGTTTCATCAGCTGGTTAGCTTATCGGTCACTTGCTGCACACATACATACGGTTCGCATTAAGAACCAAGAGGATCAGCGGCATGCAAAAGTATCTGAATCTTAATTTGGGAATGGTGGATAAGAGTATTTTCGTCGATAGTTGAAGCTTCGCAGCATATATTCGTCGATCGAATGTACAGTGCCATTAGTGATTGACACTGTCCCACATACACTGTAAGGTCTACGTCTTTTAGGGTATTACAGGTACCCAATCATTATAATCAGTTCAAGGAGGTTGCACTGTAGAGCTTACATTGAATAGAGATGGCGATCTCTGTTCACTCATCTTTTCGTTTTCATCTATACGTCTTTGGGTTTACCTTCACATCTCCTAAGTAGCTCATAAAGTCGAGTCTTGCTTAACTATATTCAGCGGAGGAAGATTTCTTTTCTTTAACCGATGGTTTTTTATGACTACAGAAACTCAGAAAACTCAGCCCCTTCTTCATCCCTCGTATTCTCATTAACATGGCAGCAGGACATGTCAGCATATCTCATGGTTTTAAGGTGAGCTATGATCTGCAGATGTTCAACTGGTCATGCTTGTCAAATCAGCTCTTTCGAGTACAAAAGTGCGAATGCTCTCATGCCCTTATAACAGGTCCAATACTACCATGTAAATGAAACACCGGTGATATTTCATTATCATGGACCTGTGGTTCACCTGTGCTAGGGTCCTAACCATGCAGCAGTTACAGCTTGCGCGAGTGGGGCTCATTCGATAGGAGATGCCTTTCGGATGATACGCTTTGGTGATGCCGATGTGATGGTTGCTGGTGGTTCAGAGTCCAGCATCGATGCTTTATCCATGGCTGGTTTCTGCAGGTCTGAGTGTCTTCGCAAGCAGAAGGTTCTTATCGTTTAGTAGTAATGAAAACTGTCAAGTATGAGCACATATAACTCCTAGTCCCTTCATAGGGTCAGATATTGATTTCATACTTCTAGATCGTTTGCTTGCCATTCGACCTTACTCCAAGTTTTGCTATTATTTGTAGGGCAAGGGCTCTAAGTTCAAAATTCAACGATGATCCACAAAGATCTTCGAGACCGTTCGATCGAGATCGTGATGGATTCGTGTAAGTTGGTCCTTGTGCGTGAGGTCTTGTTGTGTTTCGGTTGCGCACACATAGATAGGTGCTGCGTTGACACAGACTGACACAGGTTATTGGTTGCAGAATGGGTGAAGGAGCTGGAATTTTAGTACTAGAGGTAAGATATATTCACCACTTGTGCAAAGTGGATGGTTGACAGCTATGTTTTGTTTTGCCCTCAAACTAGGAACCTCATTCTTGTTCTGAAGCTTGTAGTTATCTGTGTCCACCTCCTTCAGCTTATAAGTGCTCTTGATTTTTATAGTTTTCAAGATGACATCGCAAGGAATTTTATGAGAAGCCTTGCTGAGCTTTTGGTGCATTTACTACTAGGAGCTCGATCATGCCCAACAGAGAGGAGCGAAAATCTATGCCGAGGTGCGGGGTTATGGCATGTCGGGTATGAGAAGTCTTTTGCGTGATACGTTTGTAACGTCCATATTATTCTCAAGTTTTTAGGCTTACGACATTACCACATCTCAAGTCTGCAAGTCGTGATCAGTGCATGTATCATATTCTTGATCATGCAGGGGATGCTTATCACATAACGCAGCCGTCCGGTGATGGTAGAGGGGCGATTTTAGCGATGACCAGAGCTCTTCAACAGGTCTGTTATCTTGTGATTGAATTGATGAAAGCTATTTCGAGTAGAGTTTCTTCAGTGTCGATCCACGTGTAATCGGAGTATTTTCTCAGAGGGATCTGTCTAGCAGAGGGAAGAACACGTTGATTTGATCGTGTGTACACAACACTTTGGTCAGTTTTTGAGCTTGAATAGACAAGTTACCTGGTGTTATCTTAGTTAATCGGATGCATCATCGAACAATGGTCTAAGCAAGACGTTCCATTGCGACTGTGTTGTAGTCAGGGTTGCAGCCTTATGAAATAGACTACATCAATGCTCATGCCACATCAACGCCCTTGGGTAATCACTGCATAAATTTTTATTGCTTATATATTTGCAACATGATTTCACCCTATACTTTGGGCACATGCTTTCTGGAGGTTGTTGTCTCATACGTTAACGGAAACTGTTGCAGGGGATGCGATAGAAGCGAAAGCTATGAAGGCTGTGTTTAAGGAGCATGCATCCACCGGAGAGTTAGTGTTTTCTTCAACAAAAGTGCGTGGCTTTCGTCCGCCAATAGGCAAAGGAGCCGCTTAAATCTTGTTCATCTAAATCACACCTTTGCATGCTTAACTTGCAACACAGCTCCCTAAATTATCTTCTTCTGTTTGGGATCAGGGTGCTACAGGCCATTTACTGGGAGCAGCAGGAGCAGTGGAGGCAATATTTTCAATCTTAGCACTTCATCATGTAGGTCAAGTTACAGTGAATATAGGTTCAAGTTCCCTTCTGATTCATCATGTTGTTGACTTCCACAGCTTCTCTTGTGTCAACGAATGAATTTGCTGATAATAGATGTGGAATGTTATTGCAGGGGGTTGCACCTCCAACACTCAATTTGAGCGAACCGGATCCTATATTCAGTGACAATTTCACCCCCCTTACGAGTCCCAAAGAGCTGGGGTTGAGAGCTGTACTTACGAACTCGTTTGGATTCGGGGGTACCAATGCATCTCTAGTATTTTCTCACATCTGATACATGTGTAGACGGGTTCGAAGTCGAACTTTGCCATGAACGGGTGGGGATGGTCAATCAGCTGCATATTTGAAGAAGTCCCTGAATACCCTGACTAATCAAGGCAGTACTTGCTTTTGAATCCAAGAGAAGCTCAATGCAATGAATCAGGTTAATCTGCAAAAGGGGGGTTTTTGCTATAAAATGAGTTAGGCAATCAACCTCCGCAAACCGCACAGGTTACAGCCTACTCCTTGTGTACACATGGAAGTTGGTGGGACACATCAAGGGCCTCTTGCGATACAGAAAAGAGATGTGATTCAGTGGAAATTCGAATTCCTAATATGTTGACTCGTGAGGTCAGGGATTGCACAACTTGTTCCCGGACTTCATACACGATGATACAGGGAGCCGGAGGACTGTGGACTAGATCTCAGCACCTGGGAGATACCTAGATCTGGAATAGCTTTCTCACTACATCTAAAGACTAGAGATTTGCTAGGAAGTTCCCACCGAAGTAGTGTAGCCTGTCACGAATGCTCTCAAGGTCACTGGGGATTACCGGTCGAAGGAAGCCTCATTACGGATTATCGATACCGTGATAGCATATTCTTTTCTTGTGCTAGCAATCTTGCAGAAAGGAAAGAAAGAAATAGGCGGTCGTATTTTAAAAGCCTAGATGTAGGAAATATATGAGAAAACGGGGAGGAAGTTCAGTGTAATTGGTCAAAGTACGGTCAAGAGACGATGAAGAAGTTTTTGTGAAGATCATGACTGATAGATATGGTGACGAAAGGGAAGAGTTACTTTCTACAATGCTAATTTCTCGTCCGTTCCTTGTTTGAGTTCTAGTCCTGGAATAGAACGAAAACAATCTATGTCCTTCACGAAAATGCAAGAAACCGATGTAATGGCTTTTGTTCTGACGTATGTAGGTAATCTCGTTGGAGTGTGATTGTCTTCGTATTGTTTACATCTCTACACAACTTTCATACTCTAGTCTTGTTCCTCACTTGCTCCAATCCAAAACCAATACAGCACTCGAAGGTAGTCTATATATACAACTTGTATTTTACATGCAAATGTGTGTACAATCTACACCAAGCGATCTCGGGCGTGCAATACGATACAACCGAAGAGATGACTCTTACATCGCTTCACATAATTTCGTACCAAAAGAAGATACCCTTTTCATCAAGGATGTGCACAGAAGAAACACGATAATAGATATCTATTTCTTGACTATTCTGATAAGAATCTTGTTTCCAATTCTTCGTGTGTGAATTATTGCAATGTACAACGTGTGTACGAGCGATAGAGAGCTCTATTACTGGATGAAAAATGAGACTTTGTTCGTCGGTGCTACAGATATCTTGTTTGTGATCGGTGTGTCCTACTGATCCAGGAGGTGGAACACAAAGTAAATTCTTCCTTACGGGGCACCAAGGAAGATAACCAAAATGACGGGAAGAGTACGCCTTACTTCACAACAGTCCCAACGTAAAGGCCAAAACATTTCCCCCGAACACAATCTATTCCTAAGAACATTGAAATAGACGCTTTACAATCTAAGATTTCAAACTCATGCTCATTTTGGTGTCATGCAAAAGGCTAACCCTCATCAAGGTTTTTACTCACCTCTAAGTCGAGACAATGACCAACTGCTTTGGAAACTGTCATTTCTTCAACATGATGCTCAAGTCATTCTTGACTTATCTGAATAGGTTCATTTGATTGGAGAAAGATATGGTATCGTCAGCGTATAGAATCCACAGGGCATGATATTTCTATTTTACATAGTACATTTTCGTATCATCTTGATATCATGAATTCCAACGTGTGGAGAAATTTGTCAAAGATAAAATATCACTTCGTATATGCATGTAAAGAACGTCGCAGTTTACATACTATACATTTTTGGGAAAATATATTTTTCATGGGTGTTGCATATATATTTCTTTGAGAAACGCAGTTACCATGTGATGGACGTGTAGATTGTACTCTCCAAAGTGAAAAAATATATTCCAGACCATATATTTTAGTGAAAACCACGTGCAACCACTCTAGCCTATGGTTGAAAACATGAACATCTAGATTCACTCCACCTTGAAAAGTTCCACTACAAGATTTTTCCTTCGGTAGCTCAACGAACCACCATGCATTGTCTTCTTAGAGGGACTAGATTTTTTTCTTGTACGACTCTCATGTAGTTTTCATTATCTGTTGAATTCGCTGTTTATTTGCATGGGTTAGCTTCAAAGGGATTGGGGTTGGAAAGTCCACGTTGCAAGCATCTTGTATGTTGTCATTTTCCTCTACTTGGGTCTTATTCTAATCCCGTACATGATCTTGCCCTGGTTATAAAATGGAGTCCGTCTTGCATCAGATCAAGATCATTTGTTTCAAATAAATCACAGAACTTTGTGAGATAATGAGCTTCAAAGTGATTTCTCTCATATAATTGGTCTCTTACGAAATGGTTTCTTTCTCACCTTTCATGACGATTCTAGGTCCACTAGTTATACCAAAGTTTCCATGAATCATGTAGGCAGGTGTTGGTAGGCACCAGGGGATACCATAGTTAGAGCGAGTAGTGCATAAGTATTCCCGTTTGGCTTGTTGTTGGAGTTAAAGCTGGTAACACAGGTATGAGAGCTAGGATTGAAGAGGTGAAGTTCGAATTAGGACTTGCATGAGGGGTATTTTTACAGTTAAGACTTGACAAGTGAGCATACGGTGGAACATTAGTTAGTGTATGAACATTGATTTTGGCAGGTATTTATCTTTATTGTAAGTTTTCTTCAATACTATTATCTAATCTGAATTCCTTTGTGAAAGGTTTAAGAGTATAAAAAAGTAGTTATTTCTAGATTGTGTTTTGAATTTTTGAAGTGGAATCTTTGATTAGTCGATGGTGAACATTAAGGTAACATTTGGATGAAATGCAAGATGGTGTCTAGCAGAGTCCAACATTTTACCTCAAATTCGTACCAGCGACCTATGCCCACCCATAGCATATCTTATGCCCACCCATGCTATTCAAACTCCGCCCATGTATCCAGAACCGAGCCTTAAGACTGCGATGTACTACATTGCCTTCATAACGCTCAGTTTGTTCGTCAAAATTTGCTTGATTTTGACATTCACGTCATGGTTTCGCTTGTACTATTTCAATTCTCACTATGTTGTGTCCGTCGGATGTGGAGAGCGAGTAAACAAGGTTATCGAGGTTTGTTTCGTCTATTGTATTATTGGCATGCGTTATTTATCTCTCTGCTTAGTACTTAACGAGCTACCACGAAATATAGTGACCTGGTCTCAAGCAGTATTGATGGGCATGGGTTTGTAGCCATTTGGAACCTTTGCCCATCCTAGCCCATCAGGAAATAATAACCACCCATAACAAAATAATGTCACCCAAAAACCATGGGCATGGGCACCCAATATTGGGATCTGGTGATTAGAGAAGTAGAAGCTTGGGATGATTGGTTTTGAATTTCAATTTTATTTATTTATGATTTATTATTTAAGGTGGAAACAAGATTTCTTGCAAAGCAGAGCCATAGACTACAATATTACTGGATAAAGAAGGCTAGTTATTACTCACTTGGGGCTAATTAGCCTTCACTCTACTATACAGAGTTCATGCTTTTGACTTGACTAATCGCAGTCATGGTTACTACGTGACTTTTGCCATTGAGTCATCTTTTGCCATTGAGTCATCTTTGACGTCGATCAGAAAGACTAGAAACTCGCGAAGTTTATTTTTCACACACATACCCAGTGAGTGAACTCTATATAGTAGAGTGAGGGCTAATTAGCCCAAGGTGATGATAACTAGCAGCCCCCTTTGTTTATTGGGATCATACAAAATTTTGTATAAACTTAAGTATGTATTGAGATCTTTAGAAAGCAATTTCTAGAAAACCTGTACCATTTCTTGTGTAACTTAACGCCACACAAGGTTGACAAGTGTCCTGAGCCTTTTCCCAGGCCACCGCTGGAAACCTCACAAATGTACCGGCAAAGATGAACTCGAAAATTATCTGCAAAATGTTGTGATATTTAGATAAAGTACGTACAGTGCACACGCGTTCCAGTTAGAAAACCTTTCGGTTCAAAGTCAGCTTTGTTGATGCATGAGAAAAAATACTGAACGAAAATAAATGGACATGGGCACTTAGTGAAGTAAAAGCATGGTCATCCAAAGATCTACCCAGTGCACACTAGACCATGGATTTTAGAGAGACCTTCATTATTCTACCCTGCTTGCAGATCAGGGGTAACCCAAAGCACTGTCCAATTAGCTCGTCCTAATAACACCCGAGGAAGAATATCTTCCTTCCTTCTTGGTATGCTTCGCTCAATACCCCTTGACATCTTCTTTGTCTTCTTTCCCGTACGATATTCTGCGTGTTATGTCATCTGCATATGTTGTATACTGGCCGGCCCCAATTTACCTGCTGGAGAGGTCCGGCTGAAGCCTTTGGGGTGAACGATCCTTGTGCCCATTGTGCGAATCTGGGTCCCGGCTGCAGGTAGTGCCTTCGCCACCACAGAAAGAGAGCCTCTGGCGGTGCAGTAGAGGGTGGGTCAGCATTGTGAAGGAAACTTTTTGTTTGGAGGAATTTTTAATTCGCAGCTCAGGCTTCTCATTGTCAATTTGAAGTGTTCACTTCGTTGATTGGCTGTTGTCTCAAAAAGCCAATTTTGCATACAGCTGTTGTTATTTTATACAAATGAGGACGATTATATTCATATCTTCTACTCTGTGGTTGAGCTGACTTCTCTGCAGTCGGGAAGGCGGTAGGATACATTGCACCGGAGCTGTTCAAGAAGGAAACTAAACAACGATGGAGGTTGTAAGATACAAGACTCACAACTCAGTGTAGATCGCCGGACCACTCTTCACCACGACGAGAGAGAAAGCGTGCTACATTAAAGTACGTGACTTCCCGACATGCACCTGCTCTTGTTCTGCATTGATTCTGGTGAAGATACGCTGAGCTCAGTAGAATATTGGAAGAATGTTGTCTCATTTCAGTTGTATGCAACTGGGAGGTGCCAGCTTGTAGACAAACACACGAAGGTCAAGTGTTCTGGCAAATTGGCGAGTGGGCTCTGAATTGTGATGTAACTGTAATCAGAATTGTGCACATTCTTTGTTGACGTCCTTCTTTGGATTGATGTGCAGAGAACTCAGAAACTAGAGGTGAACAACGGTTGTCATTGTTGGTTTCTTTTGGGTTCTACGTGAGGTTCTTTTTGCCTGAATTCGAGGAATTCACTGATTTCTGGGCCTCGTCAACCACGCGAATTGAGGTATATTGCTATTGTCGTGTGCGATAAGGTCAACGCTCTTGTACTAAATTCTTACTTCGTTGTTGCTTTCCCTGCTGAGCTTTATTCGGGCTGCAGCTTTCACAAGATAGCGATCAGATATATTTCATTCCTCCGGTATCACAGTTGGTTCTCTAGTAACGTGTCGTATTACGTCCCACTTCTGAGAGCGCAGAGACTGTCGGTTCTCGAGTGGAATTCTTATCAATTATCGTATGTTTCAGCATTTTTGGAAGAAAACCAGGGCCGATGGGAATCGAAGATTCACTGGTTGAACGTTTTGAAAATACTCAAATTAAAGACGATCATTCTCCTCCAGCATTGGATCCATCAGACTTCTGTTTTGTTTTAGAACCAGAATTCCGGCCAAAACTCAAGCACAATGAGTTTTTCGAGTCACCTACCGAACAGATACCTGTGATCGACCTGGCACCCATCGGCTCCGGCGATGAAGAAGGTATAAGGAAGGTTATACGCGAAGTGGGGAACGCAGCTGAAGAGTGGGGTTTCTTTCAAGTTGTGAATCACGGTGTACCTGCGAGCGTGATTGATAACCTGGAGGAACAAGCTATTGCTTTCTTCACCCTTCCGCTAGAGGAGAAGAAAAAGATCAATCGAACTTTTGAACAGCCAATGGGGTACTACAATGAGGAGCTGACGAAAAATTACAGAGACTGGAAGGAGGTCTTTGACTACCTCGTCCGAGATCAGTGTGCGCTTCCTGATGAGCATTGCACCACTGAGATAACTATTGGAAACCAGTGGCCGCAGAATCCTTCGAGCTTGCGGTATAGTTCGTAACCGTACTTACTTTTCTGTTTAACCTCTGACCAGATGCCGGACGTGCAACATTCGATTACTTATTATACTTGCACATAATGATCAGTTTACCTTCAGCCAAACTTTTGGCAGGTCTCCGGTTGAACTGCAGCTTTCATTTACATTGTATCTCGTATCCGGTGTTCCGTGTTTTTGCTTCATATTTTATTTCAAAAATCCTCAGAAGATATCTGTTGTCACTTTTCTCTAAGACATTACTTGTTTCTGGGTTTGAAATTCCATAGAGACGCTTGTGAGATATATGCCAAAGCAACAGAGGAGCTGGCATTTCGGCTTTTGAAGATACTGTCACAGAGTCTTGGGCTTCCAGCAGAGCATCTTCATCAGTATTTCGAGAAACACATTTCACCGATTCGGCTAAATTATTACCCGGTATGTCCTATTCCGGAGCTGGCTCTAGGTGTAAGCAGGCATAAGGACCCAAGTGCGTTCACTATTCTAGTGCAGGATGAAGTGGGAGGCCTTCAAGTCAGGCGGAGGGATGGGAAGTGGATCGGAGTCAGACCAAGAAGAGATGCCTTTGTCATCAACATTGGTGCCGTCTTCCAGGTAATATGCTCAACATGTTACTCCAGTCACGCTGGCATCGTCGTCTGAGAAAGATGCTTACTTTTCTTTAATGTTGTAGAAGGCTGAGACAGAGGAGTTCGATTACAAAAGTCCACAATTCCAGTTATTCCCATTTCATACTATTGGCTGAAAACTCATACATTCATAAAACATAGCTTGATAACCTCACGGCATCGGTCCCATACTCCCGAAGGATTTCCTTGGACGCTAAACAATACCCATCGTCAACAGGAGGACCAGAATCTGGTTGAAGATTCATGAGCCGGTGCTTTTCAGAGTGCAAGCAGAGTCGAGCAGGTGACCGGCAGGCATGGTACTTTTGGATGTGAGATCAATCGTGACAAGTTGCGCTTGCTTGCAGATGTGGAGCAACGACAGGTATCAAAGCGTTGAGCATCAAGTAGTTGTGAACGAGAACAAAGCACGGCTGTCCTTCCCCTTTTTCTTCAATCCCGTAGCAGCGACGAATGTCGTTCCTGTGCCAGAGTTATTGAGCGAGAACAGTCCCGCTAGATATCGGCCCATGAATTACGGGTACTTCATGAGAAAACGAAATGATGGGAATTTCAAGCAGGACGGAGAAGATATCCAAATTGAGCACTTTGCAGTCAACCAATCCTCGTGAACATGGGAACCACACCTGCTTGGACGTATTTTATATTTGTCATGATGAGAAGAGAATTCACACGAATCTTCTCTAACTATTGTAAATATGAGTTAGGTGGATCCATGTAGGTAACTTGGGGTTTCATATATCTTGTTTATTCGAAGACACTTTGTCAGAATCTGTTCTTGGTTGTATAGAAGGTTATGTTTTGAGTGTACTATATACCATCATGCACTGTAATATCATCAGTATTTTTGTTATCATATCAAATTGTGATCACAAATAGATTTATCATTATGATCTATCTCGGAATGTAGATCCATCATTTTGTAAATCCATTATTTTTGCGTAATACAATAGAACTTTCACCAAGAAGTTTCATCTTAAGCTAATAAATTACATCTTTTTTCAAAAGGATCAAAGGTTTCATCTTTCGTGTTATAAAAAAAATAATTCCAAGATCTATATGTTACATGTTGGATCATGTAACATATAGATTTGCTCAAACTATGAAATTCTATCCGATTGATTTTGTCTAGCCGTACACTGTGGTTTTTATATTTACGATATTCATTTTTCCTATAAGGACGAAGTGTAGTATAATCAATCTCCATAACTTCCAAGTCAATGATGATACTATATTACATGTGGTGAATATTAATATCTTTACGTGTTCATTTGGAGCTAGCAAAATAACATTAGCTTATACTTGCAATGGCAATTAACTCACATGAATGGAGTGCTGATTTGCATTTTAATTTACTAGGGAATTAGAAAACCTACAATTCTTTGATGATACCATATAATTAATGCATATGTTCTTGAAATGACTAACAAACAAAGAAGACAACTTTTTGCTCAAATAACACTGGAGTTGTCAAAAGTTATGAAAATTTACTTTAAAGTTAGCGAAGGAACGTAAAGCGTCTCCCATATCATCCATTACACAAAGCACTGGCTAGTTTCATACACAAAACAAATAATGTGACTTTGGATGCTCTAATACTTATAGTAATATCGCAGAATTATCTATGGTGTTGCTATTGGTGTTTAGTCCAAACTTATCACAAATTGTCCTTGAAGATATGACATATCCTTCATTTTTTATATAATACTTTGTCGCATTTTTAGTTGTAAGGTGAAATTACACACCCTGTTAACATTTCTTTACACTGCTACAATCTTGAATCCCGATCATGCAACATACGCGTAGGGATCTGGATTGTGGCTCCGTCTATCCCGAGGCTTTATCCAGCCATTGCACCTCCAGTTTGTTCAACTTCAGGTTCCATATGCCCACAATAATTTGGACTTCCCTGTATGATCGAGCTATCACGACATGGCTTTGACTCGACCTTCCCAGTTCGAACGCTCTGCGTCCACTTGCATGTCTCACCTCATACTATAATATAATAAATAGCTTCGTTACGCTTCAACTGTGGATAGGCTCAACTTTTTAACCACAGACGAGAACCGAGGATGCAGGCACGCATTCTCGCTAACTGAAAGATCAAGTCTTACTGCTTTCTAAACGTTGGGATTTGACCACTGACTAATTTCAGGATATGACAGTTTAAGACAGAAACCACAAACCGGAGGTAAATGCATGTTTGCGCAACGAGCAAGGGCCAAGTACAACAAATGCGTGACTTGCGGGAGACGAGTTTGGACCGGCGGTTGATGACATGCTATACGTTGTTAATTATATACAGAACCCGGATGTGATGCCTTCGCGGGCAGTAGCCAGGTGGCCGGATCGGCTGACCAGACATGATAAATCGGGTGGCCGTACGACCTTACGATTTCTGACGTTACGTATAAGTGCATGTCCACGTCTTCCGATGGTCATCTTGGGCTTTCTTGGAGGGCAAGCCTCGACGCTGGAGTCCGCTGGACTCTGAAGATGTGACGGTAGTCCACAAGGGCGGCACTGTGAACATAATTATTTTAACTAAAAGTAGGGGGACGGAGAGATAAAGAGAGTCCCAAGAGGTCTCCGTTTCGGCTGACAGGGAGATGATTTGATGCTCCGTGGAAGATGCGAATACTTCAGTCGAGGCGAGTCGAAGCAGCGGCTCAGCTCTCGCTCGTTTCTCTCCCAAGAACAAACGCATCTTGTTGCGGATCGAGTGCTCCCCCATAGTGAGCGTTGTCATCAGTTCATGAACGAATGCAGATCGATCAAGTGACTCTGCCGTGCCTTGCTTTCTCGAGTTGTGGCAAGCCGGACACGGAATCAGGAGCCGGAGCCCGCGCCTCTACGTAAGGTCCTCATCTTTTGCCGTCGTGGAACTTAATTTTTGCCCTTCTACTCGCGGACTCCTTCCTACACCGCAAGCCTGTTCGTAACTTGAACATGACCCGGTGAATGCCACCCATCCCCCACGTGGACCTTCGAAGGCTGCCCAATGCCGAACCTGCTGGATTTCAAGAAAACCAACAAGCAAGCCAAGCCTTTGAAGGCAGGTGTCGAGATTAAAGAAAGACTATGGAATCGTGATGATCGTGAGAGGTTATAACTGGACGACCGTGGCTGGCAGGCAAGAATTTATTATCACCCCTATCTATAAGTCGATCGCGTGTGCCATGTCTAATTTGGACAACACGGAAGGGCTCTGGCTTGCTGGGATTCAACTCTTTAAGCTACTCATAGTGCAAATCGTAACGAGGCTCGGGCAAGAAGTGTAGGCATTGTTCAAGAAGAAGCGACTCTCATGAGAGTACTGAGATGAATGTCCGACCGTTCGTAGGTAGGGATGAGAGAGAGGCAACCGTTTCACGGTGTGAATGCTTGTCGGTCGGTCGGTGGGTCATTGTGTCTTGTCATGAAGGATGAATCCATGTAGATGGTTGTCTTGACTGACCGATTGCACGTGAAAAATCATAGCAGTGAGGAGAGTCTAGACGGATCTAGCAGGACACGGGATGGGACCCGACGCCACAGACATGGGATTCCGCCACCCGATGCTTTAGATTCATGCTTGATGCTGCAATTACCGGAAGCTACGAGATTGGGTTTTCTAAGCCGTGAATGCTCTTTGTCTCATAATGTCTAAGGATTTGTTTGTGGGCGGGCCCCGCGCTTTGCCACTCCCTTTTCTGAGAGGAACTGCACTGCATTGGTGTACTACGGCCCAGGAGCGGCTGTGGGCATCACGCCCCTTGTCATCTCGTCGCCGTGTGATTCATGTCCTTAGCACAGAACCCATGTTAACGTCCTTTACTTGCGCCTGTTTCTCTGCACGCAGAGACTCTTGTGCCATCCCATCTATCCAGACTCCCAGACCTCCATTCTCATCCTGACTCTTTATTTGAAGATCTGAATCAATCACAATTCTAAATCGAATTCTGTCTCGCAGATACATATCGTAGTCGATCTCTTCAATCTTATCGCCGCCCTTGGTTGTCTGTCTCGGCTTTGGCTCTCCAGCGCACCCCTGTTGGTGCCATTCACCTTTCAGTTTGCGAAATTGCTCGTCTTAGGACGTATCCCTCTAAGTCAACGTTAGGAGCTCTGTGGCACGGGATCCTGGTTCGATCAACAACCCCTTTACTATTACGTCCTGCGAGGTCATTCGTTCCAGGTGGTGGGTCTCAGACGCATCCTCTCCTAAGAGCGATTTGTTCTCCAACACGTTTTATAAGCCGAAGAGAAAGGGATGAGATGAGCTGGAGGTGTCATGGAAGGAACTACGCCGAGCTTGTGGCAAATCTGCAGAGTGAGTTCCCACATGCCTTGTCATTCATTTTCCCATCGTTGAGGCAAGATGTGATCACACGCTCATCGGTACGCCCCGAATTCAGAATCTGCTGTTATTGAGATTGTGGCTGTTGACATAGTATTCAAATGCGACTTGGGAAAGATTACAGGATCGCAGTCTCCCTGTATTCTCTGCGTGAACATGTAAGATGAAGATATCACTCGATGTGTTTTGCGTCATACAGTCTTATTTTCTGAAGCTGCAGTTCTGCTGAATCTTGAACTCCTTAAAATCTTCAAATCAGTGCACTGATACCGACAGGATCTAAAGAAACGCAATTTCATTCGATTACAAATCAAGTCAAACTCTCATATGACACTGAAGGGAACAGTTTCAATCAACAGGAGTTGAGCTTTAGCAAAAAGCGTTTGGCGAAATTTGAGTTGATTGAATTTTGTACATCGAATAGCTGAAGATTATTGGATCCAGATGAAGAATAAGCATGTCCTCCACAGTGATTAAATACGTGTGCAACTAAAACACTAAATCATGACAACTGAGATGGTGCACCTACATGTGCAACTTGCATATACTCTTGTGTTGATCTCATAACGAGAAAAAAAATCTGCTTCGACGCACATGGTACTCTTCGTGCAGATGCCTACCAGATTGGCAAGTTTAGTTCATGCCGTCGTTATGTGTGGAGGGCTGTAACAATAGCAGGAAATTCATTGACGGTGTATGCAGAGGTTTATCAAGAACAAACCTCGAGCGTAAATATTATTTTTTAGATGGTGATCTCCTGTTTGGCTTCGACTCCATCGTGGAGCAAGTGGTGAGGTCTCAAGTCTACACATGGACTGTTGCTTCTTGTGTTAAAATGTCGTTCAGGTATTGAAAGTCAGAAAAGGATACTGAAAGCACGTATAAAGTCTACATGCAGTTCAGTTTGTCTAGCAGTTCACTTAAAGTTTCGCAAGCTCTTGAAGCGCCGCTGACGGTGAACGACCTTCTTATACTTCTAGATAATACAGACATGAAAGAAGCTCATTCATCCACTTTCACAGTGAGATCCATCCTTCGATGTAACAATATATGGTTCGAACTGGAAAAGGCAGCATGCGTAGTTGGTCGCTTTCAGCATCACGAAGCGAGTGTGTGTAGTTTGTTTAGCTCGTGAGTTTTCTTAGATATAGCTATGGCTGTAAGAACAACCACTTCCCCATCAGATATAAGTTTTCATGATCCACAAGGTGATCTTTCGTTGTACTTTCTGTCTTTACGTTATGCAATGCTTGTGTTTTCCGGAATCATTACCAATGTTGTACATAGGTTTTGCATCGGATGAATATCTACCTATTTTGAGATTGCTCATCTACAAAGAACAGCCTTCTGCTGTCTTGTTCAGCAGAGAGGAGGATATCGTCCTGAGTTGTCTCTTTAGTAGAGTCAACTACAGAGACATGTGCTTTGTTCAACATCTCGCCTAGTTAAGACAGTTAAAAACATATGTTTGCTGAACACTTCTAGTGCCAACATCGCACCTGGTAGAATGTTGTCAATCATGCCATTTGATCTGGGCCTCGGTTGATGTTGTACTTTAAACTTCTGTGTCAAAGTCAAAATAGGTGGTTCTGCTCGCACTTCCCCACTCACTAGGATGATCAGCTTCCTTAGTTCGACGTGGAGTGTTCTCCATATATAATAGAGAGTACTCTGTGCCAATCGATTGTGATCATCAAAGAGCAAGCTGGAGGTAAACTGTAACATTGCACTGAAGTTGGGTGTTCGTTTTTGGTTTCATAGAACCTTCCGTAGGTATTGATCGACTATGGGCACAAGCAGACTGCAGACTTAATATTCGAGATTCACGGGGATTTTGAATGGATCAGTTACAAAACCTGAGCGGAGGATCAGTGCAAGGCTGAAGATGAGTTCTACTTCGATCTAAGAAATAGTCTTTCTCGAAAATTTCTACTCAATGCATTCTGTTGGGAAGCTTGAGAACCTTAGCAGACACTAAAAAGGTCATGATATCTTAGGTGGGGTTCTGGTTAATACTCTGTCGAATTCCGATGTGAGACATGCCTGGACTTAGCTCAAGTGACCATGCTTGATAATAGTAATCGGACCATAAGTGAGGATATGGCTCAAGACTTCGATCAATGTGCCAGTTTTTCCCGCGTTTATGAATTGGTCATTCAGTGTGTATGTCCAAAGGATGTTTTTTTCGCGGAATTTATAGAGATAAAACCTTTTTACCAGATTTCGTTCATTGTTGTTTTGGCATTTACTCACCTCCTTCGAGTGGAATGCCTGCGAGCTACTCATTTAGTGGATGAAGGAAGTTCAAATATATGGCCTCGGCTACATCAGTACCTTTGACCTTCAAGACAGGCTTTCATTCCTGCCATCGTGCCTTTCCATCGCAGGAATGAAAGGACTCTCAACAGAACTTACTTCTCGCAATTTATAGACTTGAGATTCTATGAAGTAAAACAAGTCTCTGCAAGAGCTTGGCAAGAAATACTCACTATCAAAGATTTGGTTGCTGAGGAGATTGGTAGACCACTTTTGCTACCATATGCAGAATCTCGTGTATCTCGGTATTGGTTAGTAGGTTCTGCTTGCTTCTGTTAGCTGATTGCCATCTCGTCTGTGCTTCCTGTTCGGGGTTACTTGCTGTGTAGGCAGTATTTGGGCACTTATACTACTAAGCGTGTGCACTCTTTTCAGTAACATCAGTCAACTGCCTGACGGCTTTAGCAACTTAATTGCTTTACTGACACAAAAGGACATGATTCTGTCCTCGCTATCGTAGGTTTATTTTGTGCTTCCACCGACAGCTTCCTTGTGTACTGGTTAGCTCTCACAAATAGTCATTCATAATCTCAAGACATGTAGAAACGGGTCAATTGAGTTCACCACTTAGCCGTGGGCACTGGAAGACCACTGATCGCCACGAAACCCGTCGCATGTTTGGTGTTGTTTTAAGGACTGGATTTGCTGGTTTTGGTTATATTCTTCGTTAAATTTCTTATATAACGGTAAGCAAGAACAGTATGAAGAGTTTAGAGAAATAGATTTAACTAACCTTACAGACATTACTTACAGTTATGACAAGCTATTGCTTAATCCGGAGCAAAGTTTACCCAGGAACACAACAATGAATCGTCTAGAATACATATTTCGTTCATCTTCTTCACTGTTTCTGAGGTACATTGTGCTCCCCTACTATTGATCAGAGTTCTTCTTTTGGTCTCTCCTCGGTTCCTTAGTTACTCGACAAACACGATTGAATTTAACTGGTCGTGATGTACACGTTATGAACTCTAGGGCATTAAAAAATGGCTTATGCTACATCTCTCAATCATAGGCTTGCTTGACTGACTGGAGTGAAAAACATGCTCTTCTATATGTAATGAACTTTCTGTCTTTTACCTAATTAAATCAACGTGCACGGTTGGTCATTACTGATCATTACGTTTTATGCTAAACTCAAGTCTACGCTAGTAGTAAAGACCTGTCAGAGAGTAATTTCCGAACAGCTGAAATACGCTCAATTTTGGACTTTGTTTGTTCAAAATATTATTTTCTATTTGATTGATTCTTTATCTTCTTGTTTTGCTTTCTAAAGTTACGATCAAATCTGAAGTTACGACCAAATTACTCGTTTTGCACGACGACACTCTACACTTAATATGTGTGCTTTTTCAATCATGGACGATGTTAGGTGAATGCTGATTTTCTTCCGCGAGTTTGCTTTTACTGAGGGGATTCATTTACATATTATCTAACTAACGGGAAACCTAGTGCTGAACACACCTGACTACTACCACCATGTTTCGCAGAGAATGACATTCTTACTTCACATGAGGCCGGAGAGGCCATGATGAAGATTGATCGGGCACACTTCGTACCTCCTGGTGGTTTGCCTTATGATGATGCCCCACAGAGCATAGGTGAGAGAATCTCCTAACCAACTCTTCCAGTCTACTTTGAACTTGGGAGGTCTTGCCTGTCAAGATATGCATTTTTGATCGCACAATTATCTGTCGTTGAAAGAAGTGGATTTCTATCCCTGTGTCTCTTTTCTTGTCTGCAGCCTTACCTTTGTGCTGCATGCAGTACAGTAAGCCAGTAATCACCTATATGAATTTAAGCCATTTATTATAATTTGTTTCCAATACTGCAGGATCGTAGCTTTCTGATTTCTACAATAGAAGTATGTTGCTGATTGTGGTCAATTATTTTGTGCAGGATTTGGTGCTACTATCTCGGCACCTCACATGGTAGGTGGTGAACTTGCAGAGAAGATAGATTAAGCTATCCAAAAGTCATTGGACGTACATGCATTGATAGAAATTCTGAACGGCAATTGCAAAACTGACGATGCAACGGAATCTGGAATGTTTGGATAGTGAGTTGAAGTTTTTTTCGAACGTAGTCTCGCCATTCTTTGAGCATAGCATGCATTGCTTGGATATTACTATGTTAAGAAATGTCCGTTGTAGATGTTTTCTGGCTGCATGAGTCAAGATAAATCACTGATGATTGGATTTACATTATTGCTTAGAGAGATGGCATTGTTTCACATGACCTGGCCTGTAATGAATACGTCTGACCAGTCTGATCTGGATTTGGTGTGTTTTGTGACAGCATGGATATTGCCTTTCCCTCCTAGCGGACTATCTAAAGCCAGGAATGCATGTCCTAGATGTGGGATCTGGGTCTGGCTACTTGACTGCCGTATTTTCCGTTATGGTATAACCATCTGTTATAAACCATGATAGTTGACTGTTGTTGTCATTGAGCTTTGTCCCTGGATCCGGGAGTACTTTTGTGATTGTTCATAGTCAGCTTTCGTTATGGTTGAGATGAAGCTCATTATTACATTTTTTCTGGTTATATGATGTTTGTCGAACATCTTTCAAAACATCGCTAACCCGTTTCTCATCTCCGCCTGTGCGTTTGCCTAGGTTGGAGAAACTGGAAAAGCTGTGGGAGTAGAACATATTCCAGAACTTGTTGATAGGTCAAGAGAAGCTATCAAGCGTGGCCCCGCTGGAAAGCTCTTAGACAATGGACATCTTGAGATTCATGGTAAGCAGTTGAATTCTAGTTACTGAACGTTGTTGAGCTCAGTTCGAGGTTCTGAGTTTATCGTAGAACTTGTCTCAGTTACTATTGACAACGTTGCATTCCCACATCGTCCACCACAAACTCTGGTTTGTTTGAAGTACCTATGTGCCTTAATTCGTGTACACTTGCATTTTCTGTCTACTTCAAAGCTGAAAGTAAGCCAGTTAAGTATCTCAAGCATACATACAAGAACCATACTGAATTAAAATTGTTCATTGGGATCATTGTTTATTTGTTAGACGACAATTTTACAATTTACTTCAGCAGATAAAGTCTGATTGGATGTGTTTGTTGTACCTTTTACACGACGGTTCAGTGGGAGATGGGAAGCAAGGTTGGCCAGATGCAGCACCTTACGATGCCATTCACGTAGGAGCGGCAGCAGCAGGTTCTCCCTATCAATAATCTCTTTGGTACTTGTACATTGTGTGGCACTTGTCCGCTGTGAGTCTGCAAGGGTTGTAGAAATTCTGAAAGCTGCTAGAATATCTATTTTTTTCTTTCGTCTTGACCAGTCTAATAGTATACTGTTGACCTAGTCTCTGATGATGCGAGCTCAAATCGTATCAAGTGTTAGCGCGTGAATGTTTACACGACAAGTTTAATTGTTCAATCAGTTCTGGGATTATTGTGAAAGAGCAGAACTACCCCAAGCACTCGTGGATCAGCTGAAACCTGGTGGTCGCATGGTTATTCCTGTGGGGAGAAATTCTCAGGCAAGAAAGCATTCATGTTGTAGATGAAGGATCAAAGCAAATGATTTACCTTGCTCTAGAAATAGATGCTTCACCTTGACGCTTACAATTATAACAAAATAGTGCTGAACACCTGCATTGTTTTCCATGGAAGTTATGCGCTCGAAGTAAACCCTTGTTTATGTCCTCATGCAAAATTATACCTACATATTGATAATAAGACATGTATGATATTTTGGTAACTGGAAGTAAAACTTGTAAAAATCAGAGCAGCTGCCCAAGGACCCAGTAGTCAGTACAATTTAAGCTGATGTATTTCCTCGTTGTACGGCAGGATCTGGTTATCATTAACAAGTTACCGGATGGGAGTATTGAGAAGAAAAACGAAATGGGAGTGCGCTATGTTCCTCTCGTGTAACTGCAGTTGCTTTGTTCATATACGTGTAAATGAAGGTGAGATAGGACTGTTAATCAAATGCTTCAAGAACTAAGTGTTTATTAAACAGCAATAGGTGCAACCGGACGGAATGTTAACTAGATGGATGGACGAGGAATAATGTGTCTTCTTTGCAGTAGTGTGTACAATTGGACAGAAAGCTAACCAGATTGATTGATGATGCCTCTTCCTGAACGTAGATTTTGAAAAGCTTTGAAGACTGTGCGGGGCAATTATAGGAGGTTCAGATGCAGACGAAGAATTGATTAAACATCTCCGAAGTGGACAAATTGTCAAATGGGAGACGAAGTCAGACGATGTTATCTTTACTTGTTCACTCGCAATTTGATGAGTTTCTAGATGTCGATGCACTCAAGAGATTTATCTCTAGTGCTCAGAAAAACTTGTGGATTGTACGTACTTGCACTTCTGTAATATGAATTACTCTCTTTAAAGGCATTGGATATATGAGTGATGTAATTTGTATCTTTTGTTCCTAAATCCTAAACAGTCCCCTGGGACATGGCTCATGTGTCTCAAACCACATGTTGTGGCCAATCTTTAAAGCAAAGGAGTCTTCAGCGGCAATTCCGCCCTGCAGCGTCAAGAAGGGAAGGAACAGTCATCCCATGGATGCCTTGGGCTCCCAATACTACTGGTAAGAGGAGCTCTATGTGTATGCAAACTGAAGTCCTCGGCAGGACCTTCCTAACTAGCACCTGCCCTTAACAGTGTTAGAAAAAGCAAGGCACTCAGTCAAGTGAGATGCATGTTAGGTCCTGAACTAACATGTAATCATGTGATCCGTAAGAGGTTCCCATGTGGAGGTCAATATGGTTCTCAACCCTTGCCACAAGAGTCCTTACCAGTATGAGAGCGAGATACTCAGAATGGAAGATTCAGCTACGAGCTTTTATCTTGCTGAAGATGGTTACAAGTAAGTGGAGCATGTAGATGGTTTCGAAACATTTCCTTCCTGGTTGCAAGACTCTACACAATTCTGCAGTATTCGTCACCAAGTAAAAAAATAGAGTTCTACTATTAATCATCTAGAGAACTAGTTTTAGCTTGACCCATGTACATGAATCTATATGTACAAAACCGTTGGGGCTAAAATTCATTAAAATACCCTATCTGAAGCTCAACCTTTCCTTGCGCTTGTTATACTTCTTGAGATCAAAGCAAATATCATTCACAAGGTCGAGCACCTCATTATGTATAAAATTGCACACCTCATGTTTTGCTGCCCTGTCACTACAGTACGAGGGTACAAGTGTGTGCCTCACACAATTTAGAAATTCTTTAAATTCTCTTGAGACAAGATGATATCCCACCCTGCTCTCATATCATGAAAGACATGATATTCAAAGAAAAGCACTTCTCCACTTTTGAAGTGCAAGTTTTGAACAAGGCAAAACCATCTATAGTAGACTTTACTTCTTTCTCAAGAAATCACTAGACCTAAGACGCAAACTTCGAACTTTCACTGAAAGAGTAAACTCTTGAATTCAACAAGGGCCAATGAGCAACATGTTTGCTAACATCAATCAATAGACCACGAAAAGATTGTCTATCCCTTTTATTTTAAAACTCTGGTGACAAGCACATGTTCAAATGAATTCAAACTCAAAAGCAGACCAAAATAACCTTTCAAGAGCCGTATGAAGTAGAAATTTCTCACGCCCGTATCTTTACATAAGAAATTAAACCACGGAATAACATTACAACTAACGAAATGTGTTAAAAGTCATGCCAGAAAATTTTAAAATGTGTAAGACTCCATTTATAAGCATTGAGCAGCGTTGATTGATATGCAAACATGTGCGAATCCACAATATTTTTAGAATATACTTGTTGTTAATGTTGTAGCTAATGAGTAAATGTTGACACGTTTTCCATTGGTTTTTGGTAAAATGTATGTAAATCATATTGTTATATATAAAATCAGATTTCAAATTGATTAAAACATTTACTATTTAGGCTGTACGGAACAATTTATGCCAAAGATTCTACTTGGGGATAGATTTTTGGTTTTCGATCCCCTCCGCTTCGGGCCAAAAATCTTTTCACTCAAAAACATTTTTGACAAATCGTTTCCAGATTGTAGTGTGGTATCTTCAAGTCTACGCGGTGATTCATTTGAATTTTCATTTTGTGATTTTTCATTTTTTGGTCATTTTTGTGGCTAAGAGTTGGGAGTGAATGATTTTTGTCCAACTCATTGAGTAATGAGCGATTTGATCGATCTAGAAAGAAAATCAGGGGAAGAGGAATACACTAATAGGTGACCTCAGCTAACGTTTCAGGAGTAAAAGCGACCCATGGCGGTGAGTAAGCTTGGAGTTCCACGGTTTGAGCGGAAAAAATTTGATGGACGAAATAATGACGTCTTGTGAAAGCGACAAGTCACTAGTGTACTTTGTACCATGGATTTGAACAAAATGCTTAAGCCACGATCTAAGTATGTAGATGATGATGATTGAAACAAAATCCAACACCAGGCGATGAGCATTGTGGTATTGTATCTCAAGCCGAATGTATTCAAGGAATTGAAGGTGGAGCCAACCGTAGCAGATTTGTTTGCATCATTGTGTGAGAAATACCATAGAAAGGAGATTTCAAACCGATTGTACACATTTTTAACGCTTATCAGCTTTAGGATGGCGGAATCAAAATCCAAAATCATGTAGATGAATTCAAAAATTTGATTGTGGATCTTGAAAACCTTGGAGAAAATTTGAATGATTATTCAATTGCTAAGTTTTTTGCATGCCTTTTATCAGTCATTGTCACGAGTGTTGCTTCACCGTGACAAGAAAACCATCACTACATGAAGTTGATAATGTTTTATTGACCGACGACATGCAACAAAAGATGTTGGTGTCTGTGCATCCTTCTTTCAGTCAATACACCTCATTGTATACTAACTTGTGGTATAACGCCTACTAGGAAAAAAAGAAATGAAAAGACCATGATCAAGTCTAGATCCAAGTCTAAATCTAGAGATAGTTAGAACATAAAGTGTTGTAAATGTGGCAAATCTGATCTTATTCGTAAAGATTATCGTAGTAATGCAACTAATGAACATTCGATAGCATGGTTGTAAATTACTATTCTAATTATGCCCTTTGTTCTTCCGGTCATGTTCAAAACAATGAGTGAATTTTAGATCTAGCTTGCTCTTATCATATCTATCATGTTAAGGAGTTCTTTAGTTTTTACAGTTCGTTAACTGGTACAATTTTTATGGAAAATGATCTGACCTGCAAAATTGTTGGCATTGGATCCCTGAAGATTCAAATGTTTGATAGAGTGATCCGCACCTTCATCAACCTATAACACATCCATAATATGTGTAAAAACTTGATCTCACTTGGAGAATTGGACTTGAAAGTATTCAAGTGGAGCACCGACAATAGAAATTTTGAGTGTGATAGATGGTTCTCACATTCTCATGAGGAGCTCAAGGCTAAAAAATCTGTACATTTTGGAGGGTACAACGATCTTTAGAGAGTCACATGTTACTACATCTTTGAATTTGATTTCTCATTTGTGACATTATCGACTAGATCACATGAATGGAAAAACTTTGAACATTTTACAAAAACATAGTTTATTGCTCGAGATGAAATCATGCAAGTTCAAATTTTGTGAGCATGGTGTATTTGGCAAACATACAAGAATTACATTCAACTATGGAGTGCATAACTCACATAATATTCTTGAATACATTCATTCTCATGTGTGGATAACTTTTCCTACTTTCTCACAATCTTAAAAGGTAAACTACATAACCTTTGTGGATGAATATTCAAGATATATGGATATTTACTTCATGCAAAAAAAAGTTGAGGTTTTTGAAATTTTCAAAAACTGGAAGATTCTAGTTGAAATCTTGGCTGGAAAGATGTTAGGATTGTTCCACACGATAATGGCGGGAAGTACAACTCAATGAAGTTTCAATTGTATTGCAAAATAGAGAAAATCATTCGCCATCTCACCACCCTGTGTATTCCTGAGCAAAGAGTTGTGTCTTGAGAAACTCAACCGCACACTATTGGGCACTTTCAAAAGATGTTTAGACTTGCTAGGGTACCTCTTAGGTTTGAGATGAAAGTTGTGAATAACGCAACTTATTTGATTAATCTATCTTCTAATAGTTTTATCACCATTTGAATTTTGGTACAAGCGATTAGATGATTACTCTATGTTGAAAGGTTTGATTGTGATGCTTGTGCTCTTACTTGAAAGTATAATAGGAGTCAACTTGATCCAAAAGTCAAGAATGTGTTTTTCTTGATTATCAAAGAGGAGTAAAGTAATATATGTTGTGGGATGGCAGTGCTTGGAGATTCAATGTTAGTAGGGTTGTTTCATTTAATGAATCCAGATCATTGAACGAGGAAAAGAAAGTGCAGAATCCTGTTACTGACAAAAACAAGACTATAGCCCTTGCAACCGTTGAAGAGGAGACTGATATTGACACCATTAATGATGGGTCACAAGGAGATTTTCCATCTATTTTGGAACAAGAGAAGCTGATTGCTAGTTGTAATCATCTTTAGTTAGTTAAAACTAAAGTAGAGATTATTCAAAATTGAGTAGAGTAGATAATAGTGAAATACCTATAGTGGCACATTAGCAATCTGTGTGTTAGTTTAATGTGCTAGTTAGTGTGTTAGTTGGAAACAACACATCATCAATTTGTGTGTTTTTTAGATAAAGGATTGAGTGTGCTAGTTGGAAACTACACGTCATCAATCCGTGTGTTTGTTAGATAAGGATTGTGTTTGTTAGTTGGAAACAACACGTCATCAATCCGTGTGCTCATTAGATATATCTGTCATGTCATCAATGCACTAGGAGGATATTGGACATCAGCTTCAATATCATCAATAACTGAAGAATCAAACCAAATTCCACACCTAGCCGGAGTTTGACGTTCAGCTACACTTCGCAATTGCCTTCATGGTGAAGCTTCCGCTTGATCAATTTGCGATGATACAGTATCTAGTGATGAATCATTGGTGTAACACTAGAATTTAGAGAGAAGTTCATTCAAAGATAAAAACATAAACTCTGAAGATGAGAGATATTAACAATGGTTCTAATCTCTTTTAAATAGACACTTCAAATACATACACAAAGATTAGATTTCTATCTTCTAGTGAGAAGCAAAAGTGAATAGTAGCTATGGAGAAGGAGATGAAATCATTCATTGTCAATAACACTTGAAAACTTGTTGAGTTGCCCCAAGCTAAAAGAGTGGTAGATTGTAAGTGACTTTACAGGAACAAGAATGAATGCATGGATACGAATGAAAAAATCTTCAAGGCTAAATTAGTAGTTAAAAAATTTACACAATGTAAAGGTGTGGATTACAATGAAGTTTTTGCACCACTAGTATAATACTCTAGAGAACATTTGCTATGTGATCTTGTGATTTTACATGATCTGATTTTTTATGAGATAAACATTGTCACAACTTTTTTCTATGAATTATTTGATGAAGTAATATTCATGCGGCAATTCCAAGATTTTTTCATGAAAGAAAAGGAAGGCATGGTATGCAAGTTGTTTAAATTGTTATACTATTGATATGTGATCTTGTGATTTTACATGATCTGCTTTTTTATCTGATAAACGTTGTCACAACTTTATCCTATGGATTATTTGATGAAGTGATATTCAAGCGGCAATTCCAAAAAAATTTCATGAAATTTTCATGCAAGTTGCTTAGATTGTTTTTAGCAAAGTTTCAGACAATGAAATAAAAGCTTTAACGACTTCATGCATTCACAAGGATTCATACGGAGTGTATATGATCCTACTGTTTACTTGAAGAATGTTTTTGATGCGGCATTGAGGTCTATCATTCTTGTCTTTTATGTTGATGACATGCTTATTGCGGCTTCCAGAAGATTCAACGTTGATACGTTAAAGTATAAGTTCAGCTCAACCTTTAGCATGAAGGATCTATGTCTAGTCAAGAAAATTCTTGATATGGAGGTATTTTGGTATCAAAAAGAAGACAAGCTTTGATTGTCTCAACAAATGTATGCAAAAAAGATGATGATCAAGTTCAACATGGAGGAAGCTAAACCTGTGAATATTCCATTGGCAACTCATTTTTTACTCTCAGCAGCGCAATGTACTATAGATGCGGTTGAAAAAGGCTAAATGTATTCTTATTCTTATGAGAATGCAGTGAATAGTCTTATGTATTTGATTATGTGCACACGACTGGACATAGCATTTGTTGTAGTTAACGTGAAAAAGTACATGTCAAATCTACACAAGGTACATTGGGAAGCAGTGAAGTGGATACTTATATATCTTAAGAGCTATACACAACATGGCGATTATTTGATGCCAAAGCAATGAATGAAAAGTCACTTCTGGGATATGTGAATGTTGATCATGGAGAAGACTTGAGCAAGAAAAAATCAACGATTGGATATGTTTTCACTCTTAGTTGGAGATCTACTTTTCAAAAGTGCATCTCATTGTCATCCACAAAAGCAAAATGCGTTGTAGCATTAGATACAACAAAGGCATCAATCTGATATAACAAGGTTATCATTGAGATGGAATTGACTTAGCAAGATGTCAATCTTCATTGTGATAGTTAGAGTGCGCTTCACCTTGCTGAGAATCAAGTGATGGCTAGCAGGATGAAGTGCATTGACATAAAATATCACTTTATCAGATAGGCTATGTTTGAGAACACACTTAAGCTCATCAAGATTGATGGAAAACTTGACCCAGCTAATGGTTTTACCAAGATGATTCCTTTTGATAAGTTTTCAAGACATCATGCAACTTTGCAGATTTTGCAGCACTGATTTAGATTACATTATAGTTTCTATGTACAATATGTAGTTTTTTTTGAAATGTTGTCAACTAAGTCTTAGTTCTACTTAAACCTTGTTCATAAGGGAAAAGCTATGGTTTGGTTTTATTTTTTTGAACTTCCCGCTGAAACTATATCTGAATGATAGAAACAATTTCCACCTAAACTGGAGTTAGGAGGAGTTTGTAAGGTTAACTTGCATCTTGTTAATGATACTTAGTCTAATCCTAGTTAGGTTTGGCTTGTAGTTAGGGTTTAGGATATTTGATCCAAGTACAAGCACGTTAATGTTTCAGTCTCACATGTGTACCGCAAAGGAGAGATAGTGGAGAACTTGACTATAGAAATCTGATGTACATTCTTGCTTTGGTGAAGTTTTTTATCTCGGCCGTTTACGTAGCCTCGTGTGGAGATGAATCATGTATATCGGTATGTGATTCTCGTGGAATTATGTACTTAGAGCTTGTCCAAAAAACAAAAGTGAAATCCAACATTTTACTTTTATATAATGTCATTATTGAATATCTATTTTCATTTTATAATATAAGAAAAGAGAGGATAAAATTACTCTCATACGTGAAATATTTTTTAAAATACATATTATGAGCAGTAAAAATTATAAATCACTATAATTTATATAGATATGATCAAAATTTGTTGTATTTAGGTCACATGTTTTATTATGTTATAAAAAAAAGCTCAAAGTACTTCAACATCTACTCATATATTAAAATTGTGATAAAAAAAATTTGAATTATAAATACCAATATGTCTATTTGAATAATTAAATAAAAATACATGATATGACTTATCTAAACATTGTTGATCAAGATATCTATCTTGCAATTTAAAGAAATTGAGTTTTTTAAAAGATTGTGCATATATTCTCTATGACAATAAGAAAAAATGTATTATATTATATTTATGATGCAATGTCTTTGAATTAACTTTGATTTATCAATTTTTTTGTCACATTCTTTAAAACTTCTTTTACTCTTTAAGCAAAGTTTTATTAATTATTTGCTCATCAAATTAATAAATTTACATATATGATTGAAACTCGTTTTTATACTAGATATTATTAGGTGATATAAATGAGCAAACATGCTTTCACTCCAAAAACAAAACAAGACCAGAAATCCACGACAAGGAGAATTAGGTGGTCCACCACTACTGTACTTTAAACTACATTCACGCTAATAACTCATATTTTATTCACTGGAACAATTTAACTGTGTCTTTCAGACTGGTGAACTCTTTTCTAGAATGATACACTAAGCAATTTAAATTAACTGAGATTAAGCTAACTAAGTAAAGACAATCTCGCGCTATCTTCCTCTGTATCCGTTTCCTGTATATCCACTTCGACCAATATGGAACTTTTAACTGATAAGCCATTTCAGTCCAGAGGTTATAATTTTCAGCATTCTTTTGCTGGCTATAAGCATCTAACCTTGAACTCAACAAAAGTACAAATCTATGCATTTGCATGGCAATGTGCATCGCGCAGAAGAGAGTCTTCCTTTCAAGGTAATGATAAAATAGATTTCCATGGTGCATTGACAATATATGAACTTGAGAAGATAAGAAGAGAAGAAGAGAAGTAAATGAGTGGATTCAGAGTCCACTCATATAACTTAACACACCATAGTTGCGTAAATTGATTACCATGGGGTGCACATTGGGATTGTATGTAGTATATGAAAACTAAATAATTCTGGTATCCCGTCGACTGTAGTTCTCCGCTCCCCTTTTGATGCCGAGATTCGCTTCACAAGGGCACTGAAGCCGACGGGCAAGACTCAAGAACTCTGGCCTCTGTTCCTGACGTTGTGGCGTCTTAAATTTGACGGATTTATTTCCCCTGAATTGTTTCTGTGAGTTGTTTCTGAGTCTGTCACCTTCGGAATCGTTCGTTCGTGTAAGAAATGCGTAGATCGGTTGCAGAAGATTTCGTCGAAATCTAACAACATTTGATAGGAAAATTCTTGATTTCGGCGACTAAGATTACGATGACTACGAGCGACGAGTTTGATGATTGGGGGAGCAAAGCCTCGTTCGGTGTGTTAGCTGGAATGCTTTACGGCGGCTGTAAAGAAGCTCTCGCATCTTCCGTAAGTGTCGCCAGGCTTCTCCTCCCTGTAAATTTGTTGAGATAAATGCATGCATTTCGGTTGCAGGGTCGAGCTGTAGATGCTGCTGTTAGAGATTAATTCTCTTTGTTTCAAACTCTTCAAATCTCACTCTTTCCGCCTCATCTTGCATCGGAATTGGGAATGTACACTGTATTTCAGTACTTTCCATGTTGATTGTTGAAGTTCTCTCGATGACTTTCGAATGATTCGCTGGATTTCGCATTTCTCGCACCTGATCTTTCCTGATTTGGTGCACTTTCTTCACAGCACTATGGCGAAATTCTTCCGCCCATGCAGGCTGGCAAAGACTTGAGGACTCAAAGGTTTATGTGGAGGGAGATGGTGGAGCAGAGAGTGATAAGAATCACGCGAGGTAGTGTTGTGGGTGGTGCCAGATTAGGGGTTTTCACAGCCATTTTTTGTGGAGCGCAATGGTACTTCGCGAGAGAGTTCGACATTCACGACACATGGAATGTGACAGTTGCAGGTTCCACAACCGCAGCCGCATTTGGATTAGCATGTACGCATTCCACCCCTTGATCTCCTGCGCTCGTTGCAATGCCTGAACCACGGTTTCGCTCCCTCTTTTTGTGCAAAAATCTCCGATCCGCCTCGGCCTCAAATATCAGCTTCAAGTCTACCTTGAATCCATGTGTCAAGTAGAATCGTTCGTGAAAGTGAAAGGTTGGCTGGAAACAGGTGGGTACAACAGGTCACGCGGGTTTGACACCGTATTTGTTTGATTCGAAACGCGCAGTACCAGGTTCGCCCTCTTCACGAATTAGAGCTGCCGCTCTGGGCTCTGTTCTGGGAGCGACTTTCTGTCTGCCACTTGGTAAGCACTCGGAAATCTACTTCCCCTACGAACATCAATTACGAGATTACTAGACCGGCTTGTTGACGTTTCACTAAAAACAATTAGCAGCATTTACAGAATCTTTCTCGCTGATTGACTTGCTGTGTTTCCAGGCTTATCTGGTACCACATCTCGTTTTGATTGTGGATATTTGTTTGCTCAAATAAATTATTAATGTTCTACTTTTTTGCATCAGGCTACCTTCAAACCACATTAAAGCGACAAGCGGAGGAGGCTGAGGCAACGGAGGCTAAAAACAAAGTCATGCCAACTGCTGGACATGAGCCCGAGGTAGATGGCATTACGGCTACAATCCGCCGCCTGGAGAAGAGTTTGTCTGATTCCCAGCAGCAATCTAGCCCAGATTCAAGCAAGGCATCCTAGAATGCCAGTCGATTCGCTCATCATCAAAATTTTGAGCATGGTCGTCAGAGCTCGACTATTGCATGCAGTTTCTCCGGAGTTTCTTCGTGCATTTGCTGCAAGAATGGTCGAAGGATGGAAGATGGATTGCTGAACTTGATGAGCTATCTGGTTAATTGAAGCCAACGTCAAAGAAGCCCGAAAGAAGTGCCTCACTGAAAGCTTGAGAGTAGTGAGGGGTTGCTTTGTCCAAAAAAAGTTAACTTGTTCTTAGCTGGCAGTAGCTTGGAAACATTGGCCTTGATCAGTCCATCGCTCGTAGACGTTTGCAAGATCAAAGACAGAACTGTGGAGATTGCCACCATTGTGAAATTCGCCTTATGTAGGTCAAAAGTCTTTATTCTTCTATTGAAGTGCTGAAGAGTTCCAATCGCGAGCATGGTGTCAAAGTTCATACAGGCTAAACAAGGCCAGCTTCATTTCTTCGTAGAATTTTCTATAATCAGTTGGTGTATCTCGTCCTTGGCTTTCGTCAACTTTATGGAAATTGTCGTGCATGTAATACAAACCTGTCTTCATTATACCTCGTACGAATAGACCGTTACAGGGAACTATGGAACTTACAAAAATGCCAGAATTTTTCTGTGATATGAATCACATGATCGGCCCTTCCACTTGCAAATCTTTTCTTCCGTAGGTTTTAGAGGTTTTGAATTTGATTGGAAATGGGCGTAGAAGCAAAGTGATATGTATCTTCGGGAACTGGGAAGGTGCAATAGCCTTGGCTTGTAAGATGTGTTTTTCTTCCTCGTATTTTAGTTCACTCGGTTGCTATCGCTGGCATCCACCATCTCATTCAATGCAGCGGAGTCTTGACTGCTGTAACAGCTTTGAACCCAAACTTACCTGAGCTAGCATGATATGCACGTGATCATTGATGTAAAGGGCGTTCGAAACAGACTTGCTATCAAATATCGTCAGGTTGCAGCACGAAGGACTGTAGACGAATTTTAAATATGCCAAACGCCTACAAGGCATTCTTTTAACTGAAGTGATAGCAACTGATACGCGTTAACATCGAGCTTCTTCTGTGATAAACAGGAACAGCATCCAGGACAAATACAATTCTCGCTGTCGCTGAGGTAGTGAGATACATTCAAGCCATGCCATTGCAACACACGAACCAATGTTACCAAAGGTCTGTTATCTAGGGATCAATCAGAGCATATGTTTTATGGTTAATCCTCGAGTACAAATTTCCTTCTGCTGTTGCCGGGAGCTCAGCAAAAGGTTCGTCTAATTTTCTAGCCGGTAACTGTGGTAAGCTTTCGTAAGATGCCAGATTTGGCTAGTGGATATCTTCACTTAGCTTGAGTATGGCCTACTTAATAGCTGATTACATGGCCACTTCTCAAAGGAGCTTTGCTTTTCCAATTACAGAGGGGAGCAACATGACTGATACTTGCAGCAACTTTCTGTATCTTATATGTTGTAATGTTTCGACGGGAATATTTTCTTCAGAAGCTTTACTCCAGCAATTGCAGCTACTGAATCATGATTCCTTAGACAACACCTTCCTTAAACAACACGATTAGAGCAAATTACATGATAAGACCTGCATAACGCAAAACACTTTATGGAATTCAACAATACTGATTTTCTCTAATAATATAATCATACGGGTACCACGAGGGGATATTTTCTCTGAACATTGACCTGTTACCATTTTCAGCAACCCCCGAGCAACTCATGATAGGGAATATTCATCCCTTTGTACAACGAATGTCACAAATATCCGCGATCTAGTGTGATTTACCGAATCAGTAGATCAAATTCAAATTATATTTAGTTTAAAACTGAAGCAATGGTCAGTGAATGACATAATCTACGTACATATGCCTGGAGTATATATTGTGACAGCACGTCCAGCTAATACACTGGAGAATGTCAGTTACTGAAAAAAAATCACTTGCAGCACATTGGAGATACCCGGCAACTATCGGGTAATACGAGAGGGGTTCACACTTCGATTGCGTTTCATGCCAATGAATGAAATAAGCAGTATATATTTAGAAACTCTTAGATTCTGAAGGTCAGAGCGGTTGGCATGCGCCTTGACTTTTCTCAGGTTTGACATTTCAAGTTTGCCGGATGAAGATATATACCAGACCTGGAATCTTCTGGAGGTGAATTAAAGTGTCCGGCGTCCTGATAGAATGTATTGTCGAGAAAATTATCATACCATACCAAAATTAACCAGACCCATTTTGTCCGCTAAATATAGTATGGCCGGCAAACTCATCTTCAGCATGCAATAGAAGCACCCAACCCATTCTTTGAACGCGATGCATGCTTGCTCGTAATTAATGTTGGTGATGTAACCTCAACTGGTGTTTTCTCCGTTCCCTAAGGATGCACTTCGCTTGCACATTTGCTATAGTCTAAAGAACAGTGTTAAGTGTATACATTGCATCAGAAAATATTATCTACGAATTTATACCGATGCATTAAAATAAGAAATGCTAAGAAAGAATTCATCTCATATGCAAGGAACACGACCCCACCTATACACTCAGATTCAACCTTCGTACTGAATTTTCAACAAGTTTCTAGAAGACATGAAAATGCACCACCATAACACATAGAGCTATGAAGGATACCTGCAGCTCAAATATATTATATTCTTCCACTCGATCGGTCACTCCGTCATTAAACAAATCCAGATTTGTCTCTAAGGTCCATCAGAGCGGGGACGGCATCCCTCTCTCCTGTTGGGAATTGCAAAGTCTGACTGCTGGATGGAGCAGAGCATGCAGAACACAACAAGCAACGGGATCTCGCTCACGACTTACGTCCCGTCAGAGGCATGAACCTCAAAAAGGATCGATGCAGAAGCTAACCGTCCAAGTTCGAATTCCCAGGTGACTCCTGTGGATGTGAGTGTGGCACATGGCCGTGCAGCCCGAAGGCTATAACGCCACACACGAGAAGCAGAAGAAATATTATAGAAATGACCGAGGGCCGAAAACAGTTGTAAGAAGAGTGGAGGATGTCATTGAAGACCTCGAAGAAAAATGAATGAGGAGGAGAAAGCAAAATCCAAGGTATCAGGAAGGAGATTATAGATGCTGAAGAGAGGAGATATGATGCTGTCATTTTCTAGAGTGCACCCCAAGAAAATCAAAGCATCCTCTTCATTTGAACACAAGTTTGTGGATAGCGAGCTATAATCTAGAAGAGAAGGTGTCCACTTGCACTTTTCTCTCGGTTAATATAGATGTACTAGAATGTGGTGTCTAGCTTCTTGTTAACTACGGCACATGTGGCACATATTTGATTTATGTATGTCAAATCGTTTGAAGTGAAGGTACAATAGCCAAATCATCCAACCTATGTTTAGTGGCAGATCATTTAGCTAGGGTGTTGAGATCCATAAGGTTTAAATGTTAGAAAAAAAAAGTACCAAACTGAATAATTCTATTATAACCTCATCTACTCGATATAGAAAAACCTTTTTGCCAAGATTTGTAGATGAATTGATCTATATATTGTCTGGTCGTAAAATTTTCAAGATTTGGATGTAAGGTATTATTGATACAAGAAATATTTATTCAATGAAAAATCTATGCCGTTTCCTATACTCATAGTAGAGATATGACTTTCTCCTATTGAAATTTATGCAATTCAAATCAAAATTTGTGACTTTGTTTTCTGTAGGGATGAAATCAAGAAATATTTATACAATAGAAACTATGTAAGTTAATACTGGCGGAATTTATTAATTTAGATAAAATGTTAATAAAGAGAGGTTCTCCGTTGGCGTCATTTGTAACATTTGAGAGCCGTGACCTTCACCTGGGATATCAGCCACAATCAGATGCACAACACAATGACTTCAAAGAGATCCACCAATACAAACATGACCAACGAGGTTCTGATAGCTCTTTGTGAGCCCAAGTAAAAACATCCATTGCTCACGGAAGCAGACTTGATCAAGTGGTTTCAAGATACGCATAACAAATCTGACAGTCAGGGAACAATTTCTCTGATGCTCAAACATTCAGTTGAAATCCTTGCCAAGAAGGAGGATGTGAATCTAGCGGCAAAGCGGCAGCGGACTGTGAAATATCCACTAATGGAGTCATCTTTGTACTTGTGATTTCTCACATATTATGACCAAGTCAACATGTCATATGACATCATCAAATAGAAGGATGCTTATTTGCTTGAATGAGCTCTACCTTGGCTACGGAGCCTTTGAGTTCTCAAATGGGTGGATGGAGACATTCAAAAATCGTCATGACATCATATACTACCGCCGCTTTGAGGAATTTGGATCCATCAACATGGCTCTGAATGAAGAGAGATTGCCGCAGATTCGTTCAATGTGGATCAGTATGAGCGACGTAACATCTACAACATGGATGAAACTAGATCGTTTTACAACTAAAAGCAGCATGATAGTTCATGCTCACTGCCAAATCATCGACTTACTTTCACTAGCATATGACATCTTAATTCCTTAGTCACAAATCAGTTTGAAGGACGCAAATAAAACAAAGAGCGTTTCACATTGGCTATGTGCTACAATGCTGATGGCTCATACAAGCTACAGTTTTTGGCATTAGCAAATACAAAAACCCTTTCTGTTTCAAAAATATCAACCGAGACAACTGTGGATGCAAGTACCGAAGCAATTCAAATGTCTGGATGACACAAGTCATCTTTCTTGAATGGCTGAAAGGGTTTGATGTGTGGATGTCATGACGTAATATTCTTTTGATTATAGACAACTGCAGCGCATATATTCCAGTAATGCAGCTTGTATATGTTGTTACACTCCGCAATACAATCATGTCTTCATTGCCACCAAACATGAACTCAAAGATACAGCCTTGCGACAGAGAAATAATCCGATGTCTCAAGGCTTACTATCGGCGTTGTTTCAATCATCTCCTCATTCAATGACTTCAGTACAAGAAAGCAAACCCTGAGAAGATTAACCTACTCGAGGCTATGCGCATTGCTTTTGCAACCTAAAGCATGAATGTGAAGCCATGAACAATCTGCAACTGTTTTTGCTAAATTTGCACCATCAATGCTAATGTGACATTGGTTCCAAAAGACGTGCTTATTGATCGTGAGGTGATCAAGGACCTTGAAGAGCATGTTCAAAAGCTTCGGTATAAGAACCCAATAAATATTTGCAATCTCATTGACTATACTGCTGAGTGTGAAATTGCTTATGTTTTGACTCAAGAGTAAATTGTGCAAAATCTCTCCACCAATCCTATGCCAAAAGATGAAGTGGAAGCCGACGAAAGTCAAAGATACATTCTTGGAAAGGCAATTGAAGCACTGTAGTATGCAAAATTGTTGCAACAGTATTGGATGCAGCAAGAAATCTTCGACCATGAGATGCTTGCTACCATCCATACAATCAAGTATAAAATCATCATTATGAGGTCTAGCAAGCTCGTTCAAAAGCCAATCTTGGAGTATTTTTCCAAGGTTTAGTAGCCCAAATGTGGAAAAATTTGTGCCAAATCTATGTTTGCTATAGTGGTTATAAACATAAAAAAAAATTTGGAACTGATTGTGTAGTATCAATTATTAACTTTTGGAGTTTTGTTTATAAATGTATGGGCCCTAAGTTATGACCGCACATATTAATTATCACTAATTATTAATTTAAGCAATATTATTTAAAACATGTTTCACTGTATTTATATCTTTTAAGTAATACTGCAGTAACCATGAGATTACACGATATGTTGGAGATCAATAATTAGAATGTGAAAAAAAAATTCCTTGTTTTAAGCAAATTTTACAAAGAGATGCAAACAAGGTTGTGTGCAAAAATAATAATCATCCCAATGTATATAGAGGTAATTACCTCAAACTGGGATTTCATCAACGGCAGTCACCTATGTTCTAGTATCAAATCAATAGTGCAAGCAATTCCAATTATGTCAAGTCAACCGACATGATTGCATTTGCTCAATGGAGCATCTATCTCCTCAATGAACGTAAAGCATTGTGAAAGCATCATCTTTTTCACATCCTAGCTCTATGCATAAACATCATATTTGACGTCGCAATTGGGTCGAGCTTTTGCCGAACGTACAATACTTGATCAAAAAATCAAATGACTCAAAAAATTTTGGCCTTTTGCAATCTTTAGTTTGGTGATATGATTGAACATGACAGCTGGTTACATTGAGGTCCGTTTGCAGATTACTTGACCTATTGTGTTTGTTTGGGTAGATTTCGGATGACAAAATTGATAGATCCTCGATATGTAAGAAGATGTCCCTTATAGTTATTGTAGAAAAAGTTGCATCAAACCTAGATCAAACTGAGATCTCGCATGATCTCATCAAGGGAAGATGAAGAAGAATCTAAATCCCCGATGTTGACAAGGAATGCATTTTAAAAGTAATCGCCAGAGTTTCATTAGTGTGCTAATATGTCGCAAATCAGATGTAACATTTTGAAACCGGAAGTGTATGACCCACCATCGAGTTGAGAGATGTAATCTTCACAATGTCATTAAAACCACAATCTCTAGCACTTCACATCTTTATTTTGTGACTTTTTCATCTAATCCCAAGCTCTCAACTTAGTCACCAAGCTAACAATGAAAAGTTCTCCAAATCATTTCCTTCAGTTGCAGCTTTTCTCATATATAGTTCGCAGCATATATGTACAGAAACATTTTTAAGAACTTGGCCACTTTGTGTAGTTGGTGGGATTCCATAGTATAAAACAAAACTTGATGGTCCGGTAATTAATTTGTGTTAAGATGTATCCCATCAATTAACTTCCTCAATGTATATATGTCATTCTTGCAGTTAATGGTTCATTTGCATTTGCATAGAATGATTTACGGAAATAACAAGCAGTTTAAAGCTTCTTTAATAGAGGAAAAAAATGATCGGAGAGAAAAAATTTATTGCGATCCGGTTGATGTTCACATGTGTGAAGTGAAGGGTGGTGTGTGAGGGTGTAAGAATGAAAAAGAGGGAAATAAATATAACCAGACTATCAGCGTATTGTATCACAGTGCAATTCATCAGAGCACCTACAAAGCTCTATCCTTACACAAGAAGGGTGATCCACTCATCGTTCTAATTTTTCAAGGGTGACGACTCTTTATTAAAGTTCTAACAAGTGTCAGCCACCACTGGCTCTCATTGGTCTTGCAATGGCAAGTGGACACTCACTTGGGTAGCGGTTAAGCTCTCAGTTATTACATGTAAAGGGATGGGTGTGTAGAACACTTTCTTCTGGACTCTCAAGGTTCAGATCTGGATGCGATATGGATGAGATAATTGACTGATTGCGACCAAAGCATTTTCTTATCTGATCTCAAGTAACAACGGTTGCGGAGGATTTTTAAAATCCAACAACGTCTCAAGACACGAGCTACGACCTTGATGCTGAAAAATGAAATCTCCAATCAAGAGACACTCTTCTGGAAGGATGTGTGAAATCAAACCTATGCTAAGTCGTGTGAATTTATTAGAGTCATGAGTAGTATTTGACCCGCTTGGTTTCAACATAGACGATGAAAGTCCATGGATAGCTATTCTTTTGAGTCATATGTTCCATAAGTGAATCCAAGAAAATTTCTTTCGAGTTTCTTTACACTATGTTGTAGTGTAAAGAAGCGTATTTAGAAAAGCCCCGGTTATCTTCTACTACTGGGATGATATTGATGGCTTCTATAGCAAGAGTATTTGCTTACTCTCTTCAATGATGTCATGATCATGTTATGAATATGGTAAAGAACCAATCAAAGTAGGAATAATTATATTTTTAATTATCTGCGTTCGGATTTAAATGTTGTGTCTACGATGTTGGAACTGGCTAATAAATTTGCTAATTTATATAATTTTTAATTTATATAATTAAAAATTAATACTAATTCTTAGTTTGTAATTGATTAATCAAAGTCATAACCTTTTGAAAAGTGTGAAGTTATTAGATTGAAGAGGTTGGAACTGGCTAATAATTTTCTAGTTATTTAACTCGTAATTGATTAACCAAAGTAATAACTTTTTGAAAAGTGTGAAGTTATTAGATTGACAAAAGTTATTGGAAGGTAAGAATTTGAAGTTCTTCAGCTCCAGTGTATACGTCAAAGAACCGTAGCAAAATACTGGGTGTCAATTAGTGCAGAGGTTACGTGGAAGCATAAAAAATAGCGACCATGATTGTGGGGGAAAGTGGGGACTATAAACCCAGCTCGAACCCCCATAGCCCGAGTTCTGAGTCCCTACTGTTCACATACTTTAGTACTATTCTGTACAGGCAGGCAGGCGGGCGGGCCTCCCTGCATGCCTAACATTGGCACAGCGGTGCGGTAGGCACGGAGTTGGATTTAACGGAACCCATCCACAAGCAAATAGAGGAAGGAAGAAGCAAATAACCAGAGTAACGAAGTGGTCCGTCTGCCCTGCGGTCTGAAGAGCAGAGGCGTATCGTGACCTGAGGAATGTCGTACGTGCCTCGAATGGCGACCATCGGATGAGACCATGGTGACATAAATATATTCCTCGCATGCATCGGAGATGACATGTGGAAGGGTGGGGATGCTACGGAGTCAGGAGAGAAGAGGAGTTCAGTTGGAACGTGGGACTCGGGACATGAGACAGCAATGGAATATAATAAACGGGAGAGCAAACCGGCACCAAACCGAACTCCAAGAACATTTACGCAAAGTACACGCTGGGCTCGCAAAGGGAGCTGTACTGGCCTGTACTGTGTTAGAGAAAAGGAAGGGTCACGAAAGGGATCTCGGGATATAGCCGTCAGATGGGAGCGTCGGGCGTCGGCGGTGTACGAGGTGGCCGTCGTCTGATTGGGCGCCCTCCGTCTACGGGCGCGGAAAGGTGGCACCTGGGAGCCTCGGGGATTTCCGCTGTGGGCTCGGGCGAGGCTCGGGCTGCAGCCCGGCCCCGGTGGTCGGTCCACTGGGGCTGAGGCCGAGGCTCGGGTTTTGTCCCGTTTCTCATACGGCCCAAAGCGCATGGCGTGGGGGAGCCAAGACCAGCGCGACGCCGGGTCCATTTCTTTAGGAATTTCAGGCCTCGATTCGAGTCGATCGATGGCAATGCAACTATTTTATTGTTCCGGGGATTTTATTGTTGCGAATGGCGCTACTCGATGAGTACGCGATGGCTCGATGGTTCATTCGAAGGCTCGAATGCTGGCTGGCTGGCGAGCGAGCGAGCGAGCGTGTTGAGTCGTTGCTAGATGCACGTTCATACAGTTGACAGACGGAGAGCTCTCGTGTTCTTGCAACACTTCTTCGCCGTCATCGTCGTCGTTTCCTTCTTCTTCTTCTTCCTCGTTATCATGATTAACATCTCGTGTCTCGTAGCTCCTGTTCCCGGCCCGGAATTATTATAATTTTTCGCGGGGGTCAGTTGTCCTCGTCGTCGGACATACATACGGCGGGCGGGCAGGCAGGCGTCCATGTTGTTGCTCGTTGACGGTGGTGTTGTCTGAGATTTGGCTGACTGATTCAAAAATATTGCTTGGACCTCTTTCCACCACGTTGTACGTAATTAACACAAAGAAATTCTAGCTCCGACTTCTTCTGTGTCCAGCTTCGCTTATTGTGCCATTGTTTCTGGCCGTCGTACATTTCCCTGTTTCTCGTTTCCTGTCTCCTGTCAGTTCATTTATGATGGGGAGGTTCGGAGTTTACACGAGCCTAATACGTAATTACCATGTGCGGTGGAGTATATTTTCCGATTGATGCAGTCCAAATCATCCATCTTTTCGTTCACCGCGCGCAAGTCACAGAAGGTCGTGCAAGAATTTAGAGCCAGCACATTACTATGGAGCAAGGTTCAAGGCGCTCTAAGAGAGCTAGGGTCCCGGTTGATTATGCGCGCCTGGATAGCACGGGTTTCTCGGATTCTTTGCGTGTGCAGCATAAGAAGCTGGCACGAGCTGTACTTAAGTTTGAGGAGCAGCCCGTTGTTGAAAACTTTACCATCGATTATGTTGCAGCAACTGAACTTGCGGACCATGTCCATACCACTGGATTTCGAAATCCATGTGTTGTGCGGACCTCCGATGTCCCACCATCTGCGCTCGGAATCAGGTGTAATTTCGTGAGAGTCAGCTGATCGTCTCCCACTAATTGGTTTGTTTTTTTGACCATGAGCTATATTACCTACTGAATCAAACTCTGGACTAAAGTGGTATCGAAGAGGATGACATTTCAGACCTCTTTCTGCCACAGCAGATGGCTTCTGCTACTTCCGTACAGAATGTGAATCCCTTCAACTTATTTCCAGAATCCTTGGTTTCTTTCTCTTCACTTAGTCTATTTTTCTGCACTAGGGTTTATAATCCCTTGCACAGGGTGTCAAAGGTAACTTGTTGGCAATTGTTCCCACGAAGTCCAACTGTTATCCCTCTTTCCTTTCTTCCTATCTTATGAACTTTGTTCTCACGTAGCGGAGTCGATGAGGCGATTATTTCACTTCACAGTTCATTTACCTGGTTTCGACGCACTGTTCGCAATCCTGAATCTTTTAGCGCGAGTATCGTGAAATAATGTTGAATTGCACATGAATTGAGGGATTGCTCATTCTATCACAAGACTGCCTGTCATTTCAAGTTATCCCATGATCTTTCGTAGCCAACCGTCTGCGATTTTATACTAGGTTTGTTGAAATCTGCACCGACATGTACCATATCGGTGCAGCCACGGACTTAGCTATTAGCTCAATTGACACAGATGTTATTTTCTTTAGGCTCGCTTGGATTATAGCAGTATCATCCTTTTTTATCTCAGATCCTTGACCCTCCGAGCCAAGTCAGAGTCTGTACTTCTGTCCGAAAAGTATTTAAGACTCGTTTTCCGTTTGAATCTACTCACATTGCTATATCGAAACTCGAATCATGGCGGAATGTCAGAAGAATACAGCTATTGACCAAGTCGAGCAAGTCTGCTAGGCATATGCTTTTGGGGTATACGAAGGCGGGGAGAATAGTTTCCTGACCATATTCTGATAACTTGGCAGATTACCCGATGGTGCTTTGACAGTGGAAAGGATCTCAGACCTTGTAGGTCGCAGCCGGCTCATTAACACGATTGATGTAACCACCCAGGTAAGTTGTCAATTGGAACTCCATGGCCCTACTGATTGCCTCCATCCTGTGCTCAGCGGATGAAAAACGCATTGGGTTCTTCAAGACGGACTGGATTCTGTTTATGCCATTCCGGGACCTTGGTAGATTATCTTCTTTCTTGAGAGTGCAGGATCGTGAACCATCCCTACAAGTAGTGAACAAAACAATACAACAGATTCTGAAGAAGAATATGCCGATCTAAATTGGTAAAGCATACAATACCATTTAAAACAGAAAACATTGATGCAGCGCTCAAAGTAAGGATTGATCGAGACCTTGTAGCCGACGCTGGCACTAACACTCTGGACCTGGCTGTTTCCACATTTTAAATCCAGTCAGAAGGGCCGATATACACCATGCAAGAATGGGTTGAGTATTTTGCATCTCCAAGTCCCAGGAAGCCCTTGCTGAATGTCGTCTCTTTGGATCTTGCAAACACAGCCCTCCAAGCAATGGTACAAACAATTTTCTCATTTATCGCAATGAATGTCCAATTTGTTGATATATGTTTCAAATTTCGTCGTCTGCTCCCTGGTTCAAGATGGCTACAGAATTTTACCTAGCTTCAAATTGAACAATTGGCATCTTAAACAGTGGTTTGCTGCTATCAATAGGCGTCGCAGTATCATCGATTGCTACTGCTTCTGTCGTTTTACGGCAGACATTGAACGACACCTCGTCCCGTATAGATCTGGATCACCCAATCAACAACCAATGTCTGAACACATTACGATGTCGCAATTGCAGGTTTCTGCGCCAGACGTGGTCAAAGAGCTGGATCTAGTGGACAAGGCATGGCCTGCATCTGTTACGCCGTCTCCGAAGGTGACTTCCACACCGAATCAAGCTGAGCGTTTCAATCTCTTACAGCTTTCTGTTCTAGCAGAGCTTGCGTCTATACTTTGCTTGCGGCTGATTCTAAAAGATTTCCGAAGCTAAGTACTAGTACTATCATTCCGTACAGTTCCAGGCGGGAGGAGTCAGAGCGAATTATTTATTCTTAAGCGTTTGACATCGTGACGAAATTAGATGCGGATTTCGTTATCCAAGAAAGACGCTGAACACGATGGCCTTCCTTGACTGATTTCCTAGGCTCTTGGAGACATCCGTGAAAGAAATCAACGCTTTTAATAACACGTCAATTTACGCAAGAATCAACCACCGTCAGGTCAACTTACAGGATAAGGGACAACAGGAACCATGAACATTTTGAAGCGTTGTTTTCCTCTCAACAAAGTCAATTATTTCGACGAAGTAAAACTTACAGTCATTAGCTACAACAATCTACGCATTAACGTTTATCGGCCGAGCACGTTATCTTTATGAGATTATTCATGAGAATAAGCATGGGAACGCAAAAAATAGACTCCGGTAACTATTGCTCACGGACTCCTCATATCATCGAAGCGAGTAGAGCGGAGACCTTAGAAGCTGTTCTCACCGGCTCATAAAATCAATCTTTCCGTGCGATTAATTTTTTCGTCTTTCGACAGGCTCATTGTCCAACTAAAAGTTAGAAACGTCACAAACTTCGAATTTCAGCTGCGCCAGTTTGTTGAGATTTTTGTCCGCCGATCCTTTTGTGACAAGAAATGGATGAGCTTGTTTCAGGTCCAACTGTACACGTTGATGAGCGGCGCAGGCTGCTTCATGGACTTCCACATCGATTTTGGGGGCTCCTCAGTGTGGTATCATGTGCTGAGGTGTGTTTCTAGACGCTCCAACTTTCAAGCAGATTTCAAGTCTGATTCTCAATACTAGTCAATTACGTTTTGGAAAAGTCAATAAGGAACTGACTGAATATCCCTGATGGTAGCAGTGGTAGTGCATCTGATGCAATCGCTGCGCTCTTCCATCATAGTACGTGACTGATGTCTTTTGATCAATTTGACGATGGACATACCGAATTCACTGCTCTATAGCGGGAATTATCTTGTGCTGCCGCAAACTTGTACAGAATTAGATCGATGTATTGTTTAATCGTACGTGTGTTGATCTTTTCCTTCTGTGTGCAACCGGGGTACTCATCTCGAGAACTTCATATCTGTGCGAAGCCTGAAATCGGTAAATTTTCCGCAGATCGTGATCAGACACATTGAAGAATTTTCAGTCTATCACTAAATCGTCAATTTTCACTTTATTCCAATCGGACGTAGCGTCGATGTGAGCATCTGCCATTCCGGCCCACGCCCGATTCTGCTCCAGTCCCGCGATGCGAACGGACTATTGGAAATAGATTTGGCGTTAGTTTTTCTTCGTACAGGATCTCGTTTTGTAATGAATGTCAATGTGGGATGACTCTGACAGTGGGCGGAAGGTGTTCCTAGTGATTCCCCCAACACGCGGCAACCTTATGGCTTTCGAGGAGTGGGCTTCTTCGGATAGACAGGTACGGTGCCATAGACTGCGATCAGTCCTGCTCCAGCAAGTACTCTGTCTTTGGCACAATCTTTATCGCCGAAAGTCACGAGAACCCCATAACTTTCAAGTTTTTTCCTGCATGCAGCAGTTTAGGTCTGTAGATACTTCGACCGCTTCGTCCGTTGTGTTTCGGCAGAGAAATTTGGAATTTCGATTGATGAGACGGTGTACATATATATGACCGAGACGATGTCGACTTTCTATCGACAAACATGTCAGTGTTCTACCAACTTAGGAGCATCCTGTCTCGGCTGTCCTTATCGTATGGAGTCAGGCTGGCTAATGTCAGAAGCATGCTCCGCGATACCAGGAATGCGGCGGTAGTGGACCAACAAGACCTACACCAACCTATAGTTAGCTCAAACGCACTCCTAGTTAATGACCAGATTCCCGCATTCTGAAGAATCTACTCTCATACGTTCGAGAGTTTTGCTTCTTCTCTCCTTTTGTTTCCAACGCCCAAGCCGGGAACATCAACCTCACCTCCCAATGTTGTGAAGTTCTGCGAAAGTGATGGGGAAATCCTGGACATGGGTGGAAATACCACCTAGAAAGTACAATCGAGATAAATCGGCATAGAATTTTAGCCCCATCGATTACAGTATCCATGTGTCTAGTGTTTATATATGGCTCCTAATGTTGGACCGACACGTGTCATGAACATGTCCTTTTCGTATTTTTTGAGATGGACCTTCAGTCTTTGCTTTCCTTGGTTATCTCTGGTTATCTTCGTTTGCTCGTATTTCGTTTCGGGTGGAGCGGGTGTTGATGGGTAAGCACAGGCCCTTGGACGATGATCCAATTTCATCGGATGATGGGGTGTTCCCATAAATAAGTATGAAATTGTATGAAACGAGGGGATAGACCCCCGATACTATCTGGGTCTAGTTTAACTGGGGTCGATTGGCATGCCATTAACTGTTCATGCCCTGGTCTTCGCCGTGAACCTTCCACGCAAAGTTATCAGAGTCTTTTATTGTAAGCAGAATTGTTCAGATCTTTGAGGTTGATTGAGATTAAATTCTACTACTATAGATGTCCTGGTGCATAATCCTCCCCATAGGATGGATGTAGCTTCACATCCAATAGAAATCAGAACCCATTTATGAAAAAGAAGCACCCGTTGCGCAGCAATAATTGAACGAGCATTACACGTAAAGCTGAAAGACATACCACTGTAGTCCAAGTGGGCTGTATTGGCACAAACTTCTTGCCCGGCTTCCTACAGTAGACTTACTTATGACTGGGTTGTAATAAGTGTTTTGGTATCGCAGGCCAGCGTCTTCTTTGCAGATCGCGTTAGCGGATGTCAGAAATTAGAGCTAGCCCCCGGCGACACGCTTTTACTGTAAGTTCTCCGCTTATCTTTTGGCAATGTTTTACACTTGCAGAAACGAGCTTCAGCTCATCAGGTAAAGTCAAGGATTAGAAAATTGCAAAGCTTTATGAAGACATTAAAGGATACGATGAACTTTGGATGACGCAATCTTTGACAATGTTGTAGGTCTTAGATGGGGAGAAGGCCAAATGAATATCGTTGCTTGCTTACTTCAATCTCTTTATGTGGTTCTCGAACAGGCCTGGAGGATGGTCACATTGTGTTGTCACCCCAATGGATTCAGTAGTACTTGGTGGAAACTTTTTGACCGGATACAATTTATCACTGCAGCTTGAAATATATCCAACTCAGATCTCCTTTCATCATTCGAAGATGAGCTGTTACTTGTCCATGTTTCTAGTAAACACTCGGACGCCAATAGCTTCGTTAGATCATCTTATTTCCTTCATTACCTACAACCTTAAAGCCGTCACCTTATCGATAATAAAGTTGCATGTTTTGTTTGAGTAGTTCTTGTCCCAACCTTAACGTCTGAAAACATGGCAAATGGAGGAGAGGTTGAAAGTGAAATCCAAATTTCGATTTCCATTCTACAAAGAGTTAATGTGGTGAGTTGCTGAATCAAACCAATTTCAAAGTTTCTAGGTATTTTCTAATAAAGTAAAACCAAAATGGGGTAATCAGCATCTACGCACATTACAAGTAAAAAAAATAGAGCAGTTTTGATGTAAATAAATTTGGTTCTTGCTCTGAAACTAGACTCTAGAGCTGGATTAGGTCCTGAAGATCTTCGCCTAGATTTATAATTGTCACATCGCGGTTAATGAATGACGATAGGTGATTAGAACTAATTATCTAGTTTTTGCAGGCGATCAGGGGCGTACTATATGGAAAAGCTGAATAGAGATCCTTCTGGTGTTACCAAATGGGAGCGACAAGGAGTGTTAAGTCTTACAAAATGGCTGAAATTCTGGCTTAGCCAGGTATCTATGCTACCGAAATGGTTCGAGTTGGATCGTGACCAATTTTTCCTGTCTAACAAAAGGATTTCTCTTTTGTCCAGCATATGTTTAATGTCTAGAAAACCTGGCGAAGGCTCATTAGACTGCAATTCTATTGGACGCGACATGTTTAAAATCTGAAGGCCAGAATGTCTTAGTGTAATAACTCTTCTTCACCTTCAGATGAAAGAAGGTGAGGAGGTTCCCAAGGAAATTTCTCAGTCTGGAAGTCTAATAGTAGAAGAGCTATCTCGGAATACTTTGGTACGTACTCTGGATTTTTGAAATCAATTTTTGAGCCACTGATTTGTGACAACTTCTTTCTCCAAAAAGAAATTTCGTGTTATATCTTTTATGCTTCCTATGCAGTTTTCACAGGAGGAGTATCCGTCTTCGTTATCAGCAGATTGTCGAGATCCTGCATCAACTCTAATTGAGGTTTGCTTCTTACAAAGAAAAAATGCATGTCATTTCATTTCGCTCTGCAGTATCGTGTTCAGTGAATTTGTCCGAAATTTCTCTTTGGATCGATTACGAGATTCGCACATAACCGAAAATAAATACTTATTTGTCGATATGTAACAGTTACAGTCACCGTCAACTTTGAAACTAAACGTTCCACAAGTGAAAATGGTAGGCTTGACTTCAAACCTTTTTCTTCTTGGACTTCACAAGACATATACATATATAAAACATCGCGTATATGTATCATGGATATAATCTTCTTTGGATCATTCTATCACACTGTTTCTAAATTGTATGTTAGTATTGTATGCATCACATAACAGATCAATACCCTCACGTGCATGGTTATATCAGTTTCAGTAACATAAGGTTTGTTTTGAATCTTGAAATATTTCTAGCATGGTATTATTGACATTGTCTTAGCTAAATTTTCTGTAGTATGAACGTTTTCTCCCAAAGCAAACCTGACTTCTCAAGTTTCAATTTAAATCATCAACTGGTGGTGCCCCTCACAAAAGAGGATATGTTAATTCTTCAGGCAGATCATTTCACGAAGATTTTTGATGATAATGAGGAGGAATTCGATCCTCCGGAGGAAGCTGATAATATTGATGATGATGATGAGGACGATCAAGACTTCAGTGTGGATGACTCTCCACCCGCAAGTCGAACTAAAGCCAAGAAGGTTTACTTTTCACAAACTATGACACTTGATGAAACTTCATCAAAGACATTAGGAAGTTTCAGAAGCTTAATTATTCTGTTGACGAAGAGACATTGCAGAATGGTCGCTTCAAATGATTGATAGCCTTAAAAATTACGACCAGAGTTGTACAATACAAACAGTAACTTAAGAGAGAAGTTTCATGAAATGTATATTCACAGAAGTTCTGATCATGTCTTCTGTTGTATAACGCAGAGTACGGGGGCAGCAAAGAGATCTGTAAAATCGCCCAGACTGGGTGTCAGAGGTCGTTTACTGAAAAAATGTGGTATAGATCCAAGGTCACCATTACCACGACCGAAGATCAGGCCAAAAGTCGTAAAAGATACATTATTCAGCAAGTTCACCTAGGTGTTAATCCGAAGTTTTCAAAGATTGTCTATATCACCACATGTAAAAATATCACTCATACTCTACTATTCCATATAAAAAAAAAATTTGTCTCGCTGATTCACAGTAATACTTGAAAGATGTGTTCATGTACTAAAACACATAGACGGCCTCAATTCAGTGTCACGAAGATCTAGGAATGGGCAGAGGGTTTGGGTCTCAGCTAAGCTCTTGGACAAGAAGGCTATATTCAAGCAGCTGACTATAGTTATCAGCCGTGAGGTGTGGAAATTTCTTCCACTCAGCTGTAGTTTTCCAGTAGGTTTTCAAGGCAGACAGTAAGCACTTACATACCGTCTTTTAGATCACCTGGAGCTGAGGTAGAGTTGTGAATTTTCATTTTGAAGGAGTAGGTCTAGACAACGTTCACGCCTATACATGTAAAGGCCTAGATAAAGGTCTTGCCTTTTGTGTTTTTATAATCTGCATTTCATCCTTCCACTACTTGATTCTTCTTCCCGCGGTTCTTTCTGAGATGGTTGTCGTCAGTCAATCCGAGTCAATTTACTCAAGACAAAGTCAAGTCTTTTTCAAACACTTCAAAGCCGATAAGGTTTATAAGCTACATTTCTCACAAAGCAGCTTGTAAACAAGAGAGCACAATTGTGCTGAGATAGTGATCATGGTCTTTCAGTGAGATAGTTTTATGTTGTGTTTTTATAATTCTTTATGTGGAGTAGCACAAGCATTACTATTTCACCCCAGAATATAAGGTTAAATGGTCTTCTGACCCGTATAAAATATCACCCGGAATGCCCAAAGGAGCCTGTATCGTAACGGCATAGACAGACATCCAGAGCCTAAGAGACTTCATTGAACGTCATTCAATGACACAAAGATCATTTTTCATGATTTTTTTTCAGAGTCAAATATTTTTTTCATGTGAATTGTTTCTTATTGAATTTAGTACAATATTTTTAAGTAATCATGTAATGTTGTGACATCATTCATATGAATCAGGTGTTGATATTTCATAAATTATATTCAATTTCATCAACAATCAAATATATGTTATTCAAGTTTATTGATAAAATTTTAAGATTCTTGTTGTATCATAGTTAACAAAAAAAATGCAGTTTTTTAACTTAATGTAGTGTTTGGATTAGATTGTCTAGAAAAAAAAACATTGCCACAAAACTGTAATTAGAAAATTTTGATGTGATTGATGGAAATTTTTCCTAGCTATAAAATTAATTGTGAATTATCAAAAACTTTGTTAGAATTTGCATTACGGCATGATATTAGTATTTCTCCAAAAAGTATTCAAATTTTCATTGAATACCTTCCAAAGTAAACCAATCTGGTTTTGTTTTCACGAAGATCTATAGTTTTTTTCTTTTAGACAATAAGCTATCATATAACATCTGACTTCCAATAATCCGGATCTCTCACTAGTTTTTCAATTGTGTAGATTGTCACTCTAACAATCCGATCCGTCCAGATATCAATTATTTCATAATCTGACAACCGATAGATTGATAAGTAGTTCAGATAGCCTGATCCATGCATCCGGAAAACTATTCAGAAACGTAGAATATTATGGAGAATCGACTACAACAACACTTTGGTCCAACTATCAATATTTTATCTAAATTGTTATTCTTTCCATATGTCTTAGGAAAATTCTACTAGTAACAACAATACACGATTGGAACCATAATGAAGCTTGTTTCTCTTTCGCATCTACTTAGAGTGTTTCAAAAATGTATTCTTGATTTCAAGAACTAAAAAAATACAAGACAATGCCCTTGATTTAAAAAAACTTTTGGTTTAAGTATTAGTGATCTAACTAACCTTACAAGAACTTTCCGTAGCCAAGGTGTCAACTTTATCATAAAAATTTGAATCACATATCACTAAAAATCCAGATCCTATAAATCCGGCTACTAATAGTACTACAACCGCTACCTTACTTCCATATTGGTAGCTGATGCAAATGAACCTCATTGTTAATCGTTATTAGTTATCTAGATAATCCTACTTACTCCTACTTCTGATTGAATGACTGCGGAAATTCCAACAAGATCCGGACGTGGTCAGAATACTTCCAATTGGTTTGGGACGAGATGAAAGTAGTCGGGTGTCTAATTAAACTAAGTCTACTATTTTTTGGTTATTTCACTTTCAAAAATTTTATATAAAATATAATCATATATATTATATGATTATATCTGAAAAAAAAATTTGAGTCGACAGGCTGGATGTCTCCCGCGATTTCAGTCTACTGTGGATTTTGAGCTTCTTATGCTAGGGGATCATGTTTGATTATTAACAACAAATTTATCTCTTATAAAAGCATCAAAGTTGAATACTAAATTCATTGTTTCTTTGGTGAAATGTCATTCAAGTTGAAATTTTGTCATATATAAAAATATATCTTGTAATTCATATGTCACGATTGTAAAAACATGTATCACGATCAAAATAATTCACAAACTAACCAGCGATACTTCCTTTATCAATCTTGATAATTCATCAGGAAATATTTGAGTTAGAAAATACATTCAAGAAAAGTATTTGAGGTCATAAATATCCCAAAAATTGAGTTTTGATTCAATTGAAAAAAGATTTATAATATGAATCAACTTGGAAATGAATTACGAAATCTAGCTAATGCATCTTTGATAGTTTTAAATTTTGAATGAAGTGACAACAAGTACGCAACGTTTTAAACAAAGGCGGATTTTAAACCATCTTTGGTTTATTAATATTAAAATATACTATACTCAAGATGAAAATATAGTGAATTGTTAATAATCATCACGTCAACGATCCATGTGTTTGAGATGTAAAGAATAAATATGTTAGTTAACAACAACACGTGAACAATGTGTGTAGTTGTTAGGTAAGAATTGAATATGTTAGTTGAAAACAACATGTGTTTGTTAACGATGTTTGCCATGTCATCAACCATTATGAGCTAAATGCATGATGGGTTGAAATCTTATCTCTTTGTACTTGTTTATATATTCTAAATAAAGACAAATAGAATCATTCTAGCTATTTCTAATCTTTCTAATCATGGTTCATATTTGAATGAGCTACTATATTAATTCCTAATGTTACATTTGTATGTCGCATTTGCCAGTAATACTTTTGTGGAATTTGATTTTTACGCATTAAAGTGAAAAAAATATGATTGCTGCATCTAGTAAGTGAAACAAACAATTGAGTTCAATCCATATGAGATTGTAGTCATCTCTTAATAAATCTACTCAAAATGGAGAAAGAATTCAAAATATAAACAAGACGCGTCACAAATGAAATTCTCTTGCATAAATCTTTAATGTTTCATAAGTTTATGGGGTTTGCACCAGATTGATCATATTCATAATAATTTATATTTTTTGTCATAAAAAATATATAATAAAAATTTCAATGTAATATATGTGATAAAGTTTAAACAAATTTCAAAAAATCATAGAACATCAAAAAAAAATTTTAATTATATAAGAGATAGATGTGATTTTATATTTCAGATTTAAAAAAAATACTTGTTATCATCAAAAATTTGAATCTCAATAATAAAAAAAATTTGATAGATGTTTACGCAAGAATCATTCTTAAAGTGCTAAGTCTTGACATTATTTTAAAATATTATTATCTTCATGTCTTGAAATTTATTCAGTTTATTCATGTTTTTTAGATCTGAGTAACTTTTTTTCCAAAAATATGATCTTTCACAAATCAATATTAGATTAAGATTAGAAAAAATTGACATAGACATATTTTATTTCATTTTAAATTATGTACAACAAAGAAATTATAACTTCATTGTATATAATTTTTTTTCTAGCACAAAAAAATACAGTCAACATAAAAAAAAAGTGAGTGTAAAAAACTCAAAAAAATGGATTATTTATTTATCTAAATTTTCCTGAAATTAATAACAAAATCATCAAATAAACATATGCGATTTGAAATCTTCAGACCATAATTTTTTATCTTCAAGTTCATAATTTTTGAAAAGATGTTTAGCTTGTTAAATAAATTTCATCCAAGAAACTTAAACAACAAAATTTTTCATAGACATTCATTTGGTTTAAGAGCAAGGTTATTAATGTGATATGATAATAATCAACTTAAGATGTTTTCAAATTTGTCTAAAAATTTCAAATTTTAAGACTTCATTGTTTTTTATTTGTTTCTTTCATAATGTCACGGTGTCTAAGCATAGTTTATATGCTCAATTCAGCTCTCAAATCTGCATGATAATTATATTGTTTTGTTGGAGACTTGAGATTGTGTCTTGTTATCAAACGAGTTACAACTAATATGAACACATACAAATTCTATTATCACCAAACTACATCCAATGCAAACTTTATGATATATGATTCAATGAATACTAGTATAATATAGTTTTGATATATAGTTGTAGAGTTTGGAGCTAAAATCCATAAAACAACTTTTGTTGATGTCAATTTAGTCTAACATTGTTGCTGAATATTCCCACTTCTACCATACATACATAATATTCTTAACACAACTACATATAAACCGCTACTAGTAACTCTTGATGATTATACCGACTCGATTACAGAGAAATTGGATTTTAACGCTTTTGACAAACTATTCTCTGTTGACAGAAAGATATGTCATTCTATCAACTATAATGAATCAAAACTTGCATGATTGCTGAAGAATATTCCAAAGACCATATTCATATCCAATATCTCACATACTGCCATTGAATATCACATGAAATAGTTTACTATTTCACCGGATAATTATGTATGTATTTGCTTGCACTGGATAGTTTTTCTCCATGCTAATATGTATTTATCAATAGTAATTTTCGAATGAAATTAAAACTCTATCGGTTTGAAAGTTTCTATTCAATGATATCATCTTTTAAATTCAATAAAAATCATTAGAACTGTAATGCTTGAATTTTACATTTTTGAGTGTACTTCATAACCTTACGTCATCAAAATATTCATATTAATCCAATATTCAGTTTCCTTTTTTTACTGCTATGAACTAGGTATCAATTTGCGAATGATGTTATGAATTACGTTTAAGAATTGCCAAGTTTTCCACAACATTTATCCAAACATCCAGTATTGATCGAATAAAATCGATCCATTAAAGTTAAGTGCTCCGGCCTTTTACTCAGTCTTCAGCTCAAAATAAAACTCACAAGATTTTCTCTGGATGATATAATTATATGGATTAGGATAGAATATGGTTAGAATTTCCCTTCTATAGAAGGGAAATTCGAGAAAGAAATTGTCGTATAATAGTGCACACTTCGCCTCGAGGTCGAGTATGCAGGGTGGATACTAGGTCAGCGAAACGTTTGATCGCTGATTCGAGTATACAGAGGAGCCACTGCATTCAGAAGCACTTGAAGCACCACATTTTTGTTGCTGTCGCCATTTTTCTCTGTTTCTGAGGACAGTTATGGCGTCCAGTGCCGTGGTGATTTGGCTGCATGGCCTCGGGGACTCTGGACCTGCAAATTATGGCCTCAAGTCTTTCTTCACCGCCAAGTTTATGAACAATGTCAAGTGGTTGTTCCCCAGTGCTCCCACACAGCGCGTGACCGCGAATTGTGAGTTTTATCACTGATTGCTCCTTTGCTGCAAGATCGCGTGTCCTCGCAGTTCCCTTTTCAATTTTTCTTTTTTTGGTAAAATTTTTCGATATCGGGAAGAGATGAGTCGCGGAAAGGATGATTTGCTTTTCTTGAACCGGTTGCTAATTTCTTAAGGTTGAGACTGAAATTTTATAAGACGAGTACGTTCTATCCAGAGCATCCATGTGTGGCCGATTGCAATGCTTTTTTTCTCGCTGGAGTGTTAAAGACAGTATCTGATGTAGACTCCGATCAGTCAAAATAGTTGCCTCAGATTGTGGGCTACCTATGTGTGCTTATTGTGTGGGTATGTACAGTTTTATGGACCGATTTTTAAGCTCCTTGCTTCAATTCAATTGGCAGATGGAGCTTTGATGCCATCATGGTTTGACGTTGCCGAATTGCCGATCAGCGCTGTAAGAATATACGATTCTCGTCCTTTTCTCATTATTATATAGCTACTTTGGAGGTGTTACCCAGTTCAGCGAAAGCTGATGTATGTTTGCTCTTTATGAATATTAATTAACTTGTAAGAATGGAACTTATTTAGGGACGGTCATGAAGTGAGCTAGTGAAAGCTAACAGGGATGGATCAAATACGGATCATTCAAAAGACTTTTAGCATGCTGTACTGCGAAGATAACCATCCGGGGATGTAAAGTTTGATCAACACTTCACACTCAGCAGCCTGGTATCATTAAGTGGGTGCTTCTAAATGCAAAACGATCCATTACTTAACAGTGCCATGTCTTGCAGCAATCTCCCGAGATGGAGGCAGGGGTGATGAAGGCTGTAAATTCTGTGCACGCAATGATCGACAAGGAAGTGACAGCAGGTGTAAGCCCAGACAAGATTTTTGTCTGTGGTTTTAGTCAAGGAGGTAAGTATCAAATTTTAAATTTGAGTGAGATAGTCACTGTATTTTGTTCCAAATACAGATGGTTCAGACTTACTATTGAACAAGTAGGATTGGCTGGTTTTTGTTTCAGATTCTGTTCGTAGGAAAGCTCAGTCTTTTCTCTTCTTCTCTGAGCAAGTATTTGCCTGTTGTATGAAGCAGGTGCCCTATCGCTTGCAAGTGCGTTGCTATATCCTGAAAAGTTGGCGGGAGCAGCTGTGTTCAGCGGTTGGGTCCCTTTGAATCCGGAATTTATCAGCAAGATCCCGGCCAAGGCCAAGCTGGTACTTCAGGCTGTATTGTAGTTATGTATATAGGCACTTCCACACTTTTTTATCACGTAGACAATCGCCCTGAAAGCAATGGCTGACATGGAATATCCTTCTTTGAAACTTGCAGACGCCAATTCTATGGTGCCATGGTATGAGCGACAATGTTGTAGATTTTAAAGCAGGACAAGCTGGTCCACCTCTTCTTGAGCATGCTGGTGTTGGTTGTGAGTTTAAGGTACGACCTGGACTTAACTGGTATTAATTGCCCAACTCCACACCGGTTGTTGTACAATATGCTGTCCTCTCTATTTCCTACATATGAGGTTGTTGTGAGATTTCTGATATAGTATATTTGCAGTAGGAGTATCCATGGCCACGACAGTGAACATGTTGATGTTAAGGCACCAGTCTATGTTTCGATATAAAATGCATTGATTAGTTTCGATAGATGTTGGAATATTATTCATCACACTGGTACAAGTCTTTTACACTCGTTGACTAACATACAAGAGGTTGTAGACAGCACCTTAGTCTTTCCCGATCTGTTAGAAATCAGGAGTATGTGATTAGATTGTTGGTTGTTGTTTGCGTCTTACATAGATTGACAAATAAATTTTTACTTCACATGATGCGTTCGCAGACTCTATTAACCCCAAATTAAAGATTTCGTTGTTGATCAATGATGCCTCGTTCCATGGATGCCCAGCCGACGTGGCATATATTGCCGCATCTTCTGATTTCTTTGAATTTTAGGCCTTGCTTTTGCCGCTTGCAGTGAGTACATGTACTCGATCTTGCCGGAGAATTAAAGAACTTACATATAATAAAGTACCAATATACTTCATATAACCCAATCTTAGTATTCCATATCTTTATATTCCCTACAATCCCGTACTTTATCCCTTGTCAAGTCAGGCGTGTATAAGCTATACTTTTCTAACGCAGGAGGTTTGTTGATTGTAATTGCGACAGGCCTATCCCGGACTTGGACACAGCATAGATGGTGACGAGCTCTCTCATTTGCAGGAGTGGTTTGGACTTCGCTTGGGAGCCCTTCCAGATGCGTAAACCTACTTGGAAATGTTGGATGGAGAAGATCTTTCGGTCGCTTCTTCTTCGAGCATAAGTCTCTCAAGTGTCGTCATTCGCAAGCTCTGGTTGCACATTGCTATTTCTATTTTTTCATGAACCATTCAAGAACCATTTGTGTTTACGGGGTTCAATTTAATCGACATGTACATAAAGCGGATAGCCTGTGCGTAGTCTTGTGAAGAACCAACTCAAGGAAAGTTGCTCCGTGTTGTGGAGAAGCAAGAGCATTTGTGGCTATTCGATGTAAGTGAAGATTATTTAAGCTTGCTCCGTGTTTTTTTGAGGGCAAGTTCACACAAGTTCAATCATCATGTGGAGGGTACTTGTTGAATATGGATTGCAATGTTGGTGTACAGTCACCGTCCTTCGTCGTGATACGCTCAAGATGAGTGTTTTGGTGTGTTTTCTGTACCAGACTGGTTGCGTATGTATTCACATAACGTCCGTTCATGTGATGCATGCCAAACAAACATCGACTTCACAAGATATCGGAGTAATCTGGGCTACGTTCCATGATTCGTTCATCAATAGCAAATACCAGATGCTTCAAATCCCTCGCTTACACCAAGAGCCAAATTGGGAACATGTTATGGTGCAGTGAGTTATCGGCAAGAGTTTTGACGGGCCGATGTTCTTGTGGTCATCTTCTGCTATGTCATGACCGTTGTTTGACCCAAAACCAACCTCCGAAGTGGCGTGTGATTGTAGATCCTAGAATGTGAGTTAATAGCAGTGTTGTGACAGTCACGGACAGTGTAGTTTGCCGCGTTAAAAAACATGTTTTTCTCTCTTCTCAATGCTGGAAGGAGATGCCGTGTAGTAAATTCAGGGGAAAGCCGGCAGGTGTACTTCCCTTGACCCAGTTAGTGGACTATCAAGGAGGTGATAGACATGGATGTGAAAGTGTCACTTCCTGGTTTAGATTGTTTGGCTACGCCTTCTGCTCCTTGTTCGAGTCTAAGAGGTGATTAACTGCTCTTAAGAGCTTGAATCATTAGTCTGATAGCTATTTGACGTTTTTTAGTAGAGAAGAAGACCCTCGGAAGATGCAGTGAGTGACTCGTGAGTCACCTGCCTGTTTTGAGCACTCGATGCACCCTGCCCCGTGTGCCGCAGAAACGAATGAATAATTCAACATGAGCGAATCGTGAAATAGGTGTCAGTTAGTTGCAGCACGAAATTTGTTTCATTATTGCATATGGTAAATTACGATTATTTGATTTGCCCACTCTGCGTTATCGATGTTATCTTAAATTTTATTGATGATTATCAGTTTCGCTTAAAGTTAAGCATGTCTACCACCAAAATTGCAAAATCAGCTACATTATTGAAACAATTTGGAACGACAAAACATTCTATCATCAATGTCTATGTTAGAACAACCACATTGTATAAGTGATCATATGTATATGCAGTACAAAGTGAACTTTATAACTTTTCAAAACGCGACGTCAAATGTATCATTATCTGCAACATGATATATAAAGTTCGCTAAAAAAAAACACAAGCTTTAAGGCTTCAATGAAAATTTAAATCATGTGAAAAAAAAGTTAAAAGATCAACCCACACATACAATATTTTAACATATTCTTTTCAAATGACGAAGCGTGATTTGAGTGAACAACAGAGCTTTGTATAAAATCACATAATGTGTAATTTTATATATATGCGAACATTTGAAAGAATTGTTCAAGGTCTCGCAGAATGGAAGCGTTGGTCATGGAACTTACTTCGGGATAAAAGCATTTGTACATTTTGGTTTAGCAGTGTGGTTTTTCACTATCAGACGGATATGAGAAAAAAGAAGAAAGTGGTTTTAGTTCTCAATAAAATTGGAACTGAGTCCGACGTTGAGACTTTTGGTAGAGGAAGACCGACAGGAGAGAGTGAGTGTGCGTGCATGGAGAAAACTTATGTTTTTCTTTGAGCCAAGGACTTGTCAGTATTGAAGGTCTATAGCGCAAGGCAGAGCGCCTCGTTTACACCTGCGCCAATGCTTATATTACAAAATAATAATCGATTTATCGATTCACCAATTAAAGTTTTCTAAGTTTTGTGGAATATAAATTATTTTCTTCTTTGATTTAGTTGTTGGGAAAAATAGCCTGACATAAATCATGTCCTTTTCTCAACTTTTCCGTTGATATGGTTAAGTTAATTTTTTTAATGTTATTACATGATGAGTGATACATGAATCTTGAATGTTGAGTTTCACCTAAATATGAGTTCATGCACAACTTAATTTTTATGGTTGAAACGTAGCTTTTCTGCATTTTTTCCTTCATTTTTTTGCCATTATAAGAAATCTCAATGGTAAAAATCTCACCTTGTGTCTAGTCTAAATTTCAATTTGGAATTACCAACTTTTGAAAATTGTAAATATCCCGGACTTTGAATCTTGTAATGACTGTTTGTAAGTAAATAAATCTCCACAAACTTTGAATAATCATCAATAATAAATACATAGTAAAACTTTCCAGAGAGTGGAACATTTAGAAAAAGTTTCCACACGACATTTTGTCATACTTTAATAACTCCTTAGTATTCTGAATTCCAACATCAAAGTCTTATCTATGATGCTTGCTAATAACACAATGCTCACAAAAATCTAACTAAATTTACCCAAGACAAGTAACAAGCTACTAGCACTAAGTAGTGTCATGAATCTATTATTTATGTGTTATAGCTTTAAATGTCAAACATGAAACATCTCAATTTGAGATTTAACAATGTGGACTTCACTATAGATGATAGTGTGCTCTAGCATGTATAGATTATTGTGATTATGTACAATTTTATCATGTAATTACAGCTCAAGCATTTACTTTCTATAGCTTCATTCAAGATCTTTTAAATCTAATGTTCTAGGAGAAATCAAATTGTGTCTCATCATAAGTGTAAATTTGAATTGAATCAATGTATATTTACTTCCATCAAACATTTGAATCTTAACCAATCCAATATTTTCAATACTTCAAGAAGTATCATTCCGTTTGATATTGTAAAAGTGAAAAAAAATCTCTAATGTTTTAGATGCAATAAAAACAAGCATTGTCTAGGATACATATATCATCAAAATTCTTTGATGAATAGTGAAAGACATAACTATTGCATGTCAAACTTTATTTGAGCAAATCATACTTCTTTGTATTGACTTCTTGAGCCACATTGGCTAAAGTAGTATCATCACCTTGAGTCTTCACGCGATATTATTCTTAATATCAACACTCTTGTCACATTTCCGACGTACCACAAACATTTTATGTAGAAATTTATTCTTAGATTTGGATCTGCTATCAGATTTGATTTGTTCTTCATTATTGTTGTTACTTAAATAAAACCAACCTCACATCACATTCAATGTAGAGCCAGAAAAAAAATATGAAAGAGACATCAAAATTATCTTTTGCTGTAAATTATCAATCAATAATGCACTTACAACTTTTCAGGAAGTAATTGTTTGGCAATCATAATAAAATAATACATGTGATGATGATTAATATGACGTTTGTAACGAACTCACAATATGTAAGGCTTTTTTCATCTTCTCCAAGATTCTGAATAATAATTATCAAATCAACAAATGAGTCTATCAATACAATACTGAATCTATGTTCCAGTACCTTTCATCTTAAAGTTCATTTGTTTTAAGATTACATACAACTTTTGATGATGAAATAGTTTATTAAGAACCTACGATCATCATTATACTTTAATTGCTTCAAAACAGAAGTATGTAGATGTAATATAACCATGCTTCTTAAGATTGCTACAATCATTGTTGTTGGAGCTGCAAGTGTTGAAGATAAGCATTTTTTTGTATACCATGATTTTAAATTTGACCTTAATTTGTCTATTCCATATTACATAGTTTTCACATCCATTGAGTTTTATTATTTCATAAATGTAATAATCTTTAATTAGTTAAAAGTAAAGTAGATTAAATTATAAATATATTATAGTGTAAAATTTATAGTCGTAACGTCAACTATATTTATGCTTGGAGGGAGAGAATAAATGTGTTAGTTGACAACGTCACGTCAACTATCCATGTGCTTGATAGATAAGAATTGAATGTGTTAATTAGCGTATTAGTTGATAGAGCCACATTAGCAATCCGTATGCTTGTTAAAGTTATCTGTCATGTCATCAATTCACTAAGAGTGGAATGTATGATGATGTCATTGTATTTGTTAGTAAGATTTATATAAGGGGAAAAAACACCATTGTTGATATCTCTTTTTCTCAATGTTATATTTTATTTTTGAATGAAATTATCTCTTGAGACCTAGTGTTACAATTACTTGCCTCTTCAAACTTGATGATGTCCATCTTGTTCTACGAAATTATTAAAGTTTTGAATCGTGATGTTGAAACAAATGTGTATTTTTCACTCATATGTTACTTTCAAGATTTAGACTTTTTTTAAAAATTTGACTATATCAAATTCTAGATGTGAAGATTCAAAAAAACTTGTATGAGATTGAGATACCTTGCAATTAGCCTTGTGTTGCCGCCGAGTATCTTAAATAATCAAATATCAAGGCTTAGTATTTTGCAAGTACGATAGTTAGGATTTTCAAGTGAAGTCAACTAGGGTGTTTTTTTTGCTAGTTATTGGATTTTTTACGTTTAGTATGTACCAATTAAAATTCAATCTTTTTTTAAACCGTTTGTCTTGCTTGCAGTTGAGTTTTTGATAGCAACATACACTTCTTTGCCATAAGAACTTTTTCACAACAACAGAAATAAAAAAGATTTCTCATCATTAGTAGTTTTCCAAAATCATTTTTCTTGTGTTAAGACTTTTTTTGCAGCCATCACTAGACATTTTGGCTCTAACAGTTGCTTTTTCTCTGGTCTAACAATCTTTTCGCTTTCAAATTGAACGATCATTATCAAGGTTTTCAAGTACTTGACATTTGTGATTGCCACATACATCAAAATATTAAGCTTGTTATAAATGTAATGGCCCTTGAAACTTGGATCCACAATCTACTTGAATCCTCCTGGTGCGTGATGATGAACTCCACCGAGTCCCACATGTACTTCTTGGAGGCTTCTTATTGCTGATAAGGTCTAAGTGCAAAATGCCGAACTCAAAAATGTCGATCGCTTTGAATACGGCTATGTGAAATATGTAGCTGAGCCTTCAATAGATAGTCCTCTTGGTCCAAACTTTCAGATGTCATAGTCCTTCTCATTGGTTGGCCTCCTAGTCCATCAACCCATCTTCCTAGTCATGGTACTCTTGGCCCAAATCGTTAAAACCTAAAGTCTGCAGCAGACATCATAGTTCTTTTTATCGGTACGTATCCTCGTCCAAGATAGTAGTTCAACATTTCGTCTTTCTACTTGACACTATGGATTCTTGTAATTGCAACTTTTGTCAAACGATTGATTTAATTGATCATCAATGCCCACACAATCACTAAGAATTGTGTCCTTACGTCATTTGCATAGAGAACTGAATAACAATACTAGTTTTTCATATCGTCTTTGAATTACTTGAATTTGTAAAACAAGAACATTCACTGAACAAGATATTGTAAACTGAAGCGTTTTAAGATCAAAGTCATGGAACCCAGTCGTAAAAATGAATCAAACACAGAACCTCCTTAAAGATACTCTATTGCTTCCATATGCAACATGCTTGTCTTTTTATTAAGAAAAGAGGTAGAGATAAAATCTTTGTCTACCCACAGAAAGAAGCTCTCCATCCTGTTTGTTTGATCCACAACTTGCTATGTTATCAATTGTTACAGAAAACACACGAATACATAGACACGAGACAAAAAAACAGACGACAGTAAAAATAGATGTTTTGCCACTCTCAGTCTACGTCCACGAAATAAACAACGTCTTTATCCAAAAAGCTACAAAATGTTCAAGTCAAGTTGTGTTTTAGGGTTTAGCTCATAAATTCTATATCATGGTTCCATGAGCTTAGGCTCGAAATTTGAAGTCAATGCTCCAGAAACAACGAGAAGGTATGAAACGCACTGTTATATCAAAGGCCAACTCGCATTCACTCTTCTGAGTGGAGTAGGCCTTCCAATCCCCTTGGCATTTCTTAGTCAACGAAAGGTTGCAGCTTTATATAGAATTAGCTGACTCGGTTTACCATGTCACCATATGAGCTGAAATCGGCGGAAACTTTTAAGAAAGTATTACGTGGAGACATGCACGTATCAACAAATAGTCCACCGGGTAGCCTACTCGGTCGAAGGATAGTCTCATGCTCAAATGCTAACTTGCCGTTGAATACTTTTTGTCAGTGGTTCTGAGTTGACCCTTTCTAACGAGTAGAGGAGACAACTCCATACCGAGACGTCCTTGACGATGTGCTCCACGTGTTGGGTAAAAATTTCCAATTTGTATCTTCATCGAACAATAATTGCGTGATACGAGGGTACCACATGCTGCATGTACGTGGTTGAGCTTGGATGCAGGTCCAACGCGTGGCAGGTACTGTAGTATTATATGACGTGGTCCCATACTGGGTCCCCATCGACACAGAACCTACTGCTTCCGGGTTCCAGTATTGCCCTTCAAAGTGGCACGGCTGTAGAGGCTGTAGAGGTACGTGGTCGTGACAGTAGTTCATAAGATTGAGGTACAAAGTGTGCGTTCTTGGGGAAAAATCACTCCAAAGTCCGCTAAGAAAAAACAAATTTGATTTCCTGTTGCTCCAAAAACGCATGTCCAGCAATTCCTTGCCATCTGTTGAAATCATGCCTTGTAGGAGACTTGTTCGGGGTAATCTACACTTGGCTGGAGCAACGCATCCAACAAGTGACTTTATTTCGGGTGAGTCTTCATCTCATGGAAACACTAAGACGAAGATTCAAAATGTGTTGACATGGTAACTTTTAGTTCGTTCAGCTCACAAGTTTGATTGGATTGTGGATGTTTATTTAAGAGAATGCAGGAAGAATGTCAAACGAGATGAATTCCATTCTATTCGACATATTACTTCTTATCCATGGTCATATACGTAGTAGCAGGTGATGCAACCTACGAGGGAATAGTAAGATATGTGAGGTTCTTCGAGTCATCGGTTAGTATCTAGAATGGTTAACCCAGATAGGACTTTAGCACTTTATGATGCTATTGGGACCCACTTTTCCAATAAGTTTCATCCTAACATGACTTGATTGTTTCTTACAGTCTTTTCGCTATATTGCTCGGTTCCCGCTTTACAAGTCTCCAATAGCAACCACGAATTTATCTCATTCTTCAGCTACAAGTGGGATCATGAGCCGACCATCGTCCCCGAAGCATGTTTTCAATGCCAGTACAGTTGCCAAGGCAGATGAGTGCATTGGGAAGGGTCTGTCCGGAGTAATGCGAGACCTGCTGCACCTGCAGGACCCAAAGTAACTAGTGCAGCCACGCGTCAAAGCCCAAGTCCAGCCGTGCCTGACTCTTCGGGGTTGTAGATCTGGTTTGGTCGGGCGCTGCTGTCGCAGAGGTACATTTTCAATGCGATTCAAACATTGCGGGGAAGACCATCCCATCTTCTAGAGCTCAGCAACAGTGAAGGCCAGTTTGTCTCCGGTCCTAGAGAAGATAGGACCCAAACAGACTCGTGTGCGAGCGAGCGAGCGAGTCCAGCGCATGAAAGGTCATTCTGACAGACAGTTTTGTATAGAGTCTGATCTCGGGACTCGAGACTCCGGTCCCAACACCTTCTAATAATGTATTGTACTGCAAATAAATCCTCGTTTCTTTCAAGGCAGCCAGAATGGACTTGCTGCTCTGGGTGCGTTTGCCGTGGCTTGTAGCGGGAGCTGCTGGATATCGTTAACAATTGCCCTCTGTACCCGCTCGGATTCGATCACTGCAACGACCTTGTGATCACGCAGGATTCGGCAGACGCCTTTCTAACTGGCTGGATTTGGCTCTTTTTCAGCTTCCAAATTCTGCTGGGCGGGGTGGAGTCGAGTGGAGCGGGGGACCTCGGGGAAGAGTGATTTGGTGCTACTCGGACCGGTGCACTTCTGCTGCATGTTCGTTGGTTGCCGTCGGGTCAGTATACTCCGGACGACGTGTGGCTGACGGGCTGATTAGATTTGGTAGTATCGCATATCTTCGCTGGAATGTGCCGACAGTGCATGGGGCCCCAGGAAGACACGGGCTGATTTTCTAACGTGAGAAAGCAGGGCTGGTCGCACAGGCCGATCCCGAGGTCTGGGCTTTACGGAGCCGGAGGAAGTTGATGACAGAGCGCTGGTTTTGCCACTCTTGAGGTTGGAATATTATACGAGACAGTATTCTTGAGATCGAAGGATCCGCTTCAACGTAGTATTACGCTTTGGATTGCATAGAGGCAATCGCTCGTCATTTTGCCCGGGTGTGGGGCGGAAATTTTTTTTGAGCGCAAAGTTCTCGTAAAGGAGACGCGGACGGGAGCAATAATAAGTCGGAGCTGCCGTGCGGGGAGACATATCATAACCGCAATGGGGCATGACGTTGCAGAGAAGATTTGGCTGCACGGGGTGTTGAAGGTGACCATTTTGGACCTCGACCTGGAGAAATTGTTCCATCTGTGGGCGGTACGTCACATCTAAACCGAAAATTTGGAAGTATTCGGTGACCTTGAGATTTTGAATATTTTGAAAATCAGTTGCTGACACTCAACTCTGGACAGATTCTTGCAATCAATCATCTTCCGACAATTAGTAGTCGGTTCTGGTTTAGGAAAATCGTAGATGGTTGCACAAAATTGCTGCTTGTGAAAGCTCATTTCAGCAGTCATGAATTTTCTGCGTCTGCAAAATGTGAGAAAACAGTTGGGAGGTGATATCAGGGGAACCGAAATTGACGAACATGTTAAACCTGACCATGCTTGTCCAGAATGTGAATGACAAACTGGGAGGAAGTTTTGCTACGGTGGAGCTTCCCCCTGTGCAAATGGCGCGAACCCGGGCTGAGCAGTGTCACCACGGTGTCATCGCCTGGAACGAGTGCCTGCGAGTCTACACTGCCAACAGAGTCTCGACCGTGGACATTACCATAACCAGTGGTCATCACTCTCGCCCTCAAGGGCGAGCTAACATTCCAGCAACCGACATTCTTCTCAAAAGACACCTCGAAGGCTGGTTTACGATAGATGGTTTCTTCAAGAGCATTGGCAAGATTCATGTCATTGTCGACTTCGAACCTGCTGATGAGAATCCGCTCTGGGGCAATGGTGTTGGGGAGAATTTTCCTGGTGAGCTCAGTGATCCCTGATCTTCCTGAACGCTGTTGCAGACACTTGGCTTTTCAGAAAGGTTCAGGAAATAACTTGTTGAGAACCTAGAATTCAGCTTCAAATGGAAACCCGGCTCTGAATGTTCTCCCGTTTGTATTGCACGCACATTATTCTCCCTTCAAGGTTTCTCCCTTCATCATTCTGATTAGCAGGCTGGAAAATTGCAGATTGGACCCAAAGGCCAGTTAGTGTGAAGGCTGTGTATGGAACTGCTCAGCTTAAACCCCTTCTGTACCCCTGCTATGTCTACCTCGAGTTCTCGAAAGGGAACGAATTTCGAGAACTCGCTAGATCTTCTCACGTAGCGAACTAATCTAAAGCTGCTAGATTAGTTCTCAGTGAGTCCATTGCATCTTCATAGGGGACTCTTATATTAAACGAGTGCAACCAGTGCATTCGCTGACCAGAGTCTTCAATACGAATTGCTCTGAGGCTTGCAGCGCCAATTGCGAAGATAGGACTTCAAAGGATCAATTTTCGACTCGCCCTGTGCTAGACCCTGTCATGACTGCTGTGCTTCGAAAATCATAAGCTATACTGAGTTCCTATGCCTTGTGCAGGAGTACCCCACACTTTCTTCCCCCAGCATCGTGCATGTTTGGTCACTCCGTACCAGAATTCTCATATCGAAGATGACTTCATTCCCCCGATTGCTATGCAAGGAGGTAAACACCGAATCCCTGGGAAATACTGGAAGGAGCTTCACCATGCAATTTGCAGTGCGAAGAAGTTCGTGTACATTGCCGGATGGTCAATGTTTGCAAAAATCTCCTTGGTACGATCTCCCGATGGAGAATTGGGGGAGACACTGGGCGAGCTTCTGATCAGGCGGGCCCAGGAGGGAATTCGTGTGAATGTGATGATTTGGGATGACAAAACCAGCAACTTACACTCGATGCTGAAGAGCTTTCGGGAGGGGATCATGCATACGCACGACGAGGACACTGAGAAGTTCTTCACAAATACGGATGTGGCGTGCCTCAAGTGCCCTCGCGATCCCAGGTCCTCTACTTGCCCCTAATTCTGCCCGGAAGTTTCCCCGAGCCCTTCTTGTCTCTGAGCTTCCCAATCTGATTCCACCCTGGGATCCGAATGAGCCATTCCACAAGCCCTGAATCTGAACACTCTGTCGTGATTGTGTTGGGAATTTTGCAGGGCAGATGCCTTCCACCTAGCTGAGGGATTCGTCTTCACGCACCACCAGAAGGTGGTTGTCGTCGACGCCCCAGCGCTGCCCCCTTACTCTCCAGAGCAGAGACGTATCATAGCATTCGTCGGAGGCATTGACCTGTGCGGGGGACGATACGACACTCCCTCGCACTCGCTCTTCCGCACTCTGACCACCGTGCACAGGAAGGACTTTCAACAGGGCTGCATTCCCGGAGCTGCCCTCAAGTAAGACCCTCACCAGAGCAACCTCGCACTCCTGTTGAATTACTCGTCGAGTCCGCTCCAGAAGAATTTCGCGAGCTTATCCGATGACTGATCGTCCTTTCTATCCGTCCCATTCAGAAGTGGAGGTCCGAGACAGCCATGGCACGACATTCATAGCAAGCTGGTGAGTCCTCTCTGTTTCGGCACCGAAGGGTGCCCTTGACTTATTTTCCGCTTTGGTCCGCGGCAGAAGTTTAAAAGGCGAAGAGTCCTTCGAAATGCAGGCCACTTGCAAATCTGCATGAATTTCTGCAGGCATATCCACAATTTCCATTTCCGTGTACGACGGGTTCGATTGCGAGAAATGGTTCCGCCAGTTGCTCGCAAAATCTCGACACTCGGAATCGGGATCGGCATCGCTTTGAAGCTCCGCGAAATTATGGTATTGAGATTATTTTCGTTGTCCATGTATAGGAAGGGGCAGTGGCGTGGGATGCGCACACCAATTTCGTACAGCGATGGCTCTGTCAAGCTGGAAAAATTAACGAGCACTTGCTCGTCTCAGTTGACCCGGAAGCTTCAGAATTCTGTCCTCCCAGCCCGGCGGTGGAGGAGCACCACCCGGCAGCATGGAATGTGCAGCTCCTGCGATCCATCGATACCACGTCCGTGGTGGGATTTCCAGACGACTCGTCGGCCGAGCTGGTGTTGGAGAAGGGACTGGTGAGGGAGGAGAAGGATCTGGTGGACAGAAGCATACAGGACGCATACATCTGCGCCATCAGAAGAGCCAAGCATTTCCTCTTCATCGAGAATCAGTACTTCATCGGAAGCTCCTACGGATGGAAAGACCTCCCGGACTGGCACACGGCCGCACCGCACCTCATCCCCATGGAGATCGCGCTGAAAATTGTGAGCAAAATCCGAGCGGGCGAGCACTTCTGCTGCTACGTCATCGTGCCCATGATGCCCGACGGGGCTCCGGATGGTCCCTCGGTGCAGGATATTCTTCACCACGTCAAAGAGACCATGCAGATGATGTATCAGATGATCGGAGATGCTCTGCGCGAGGTGGGAAGACTGTCGTGCCGGCCGACGGACTACCTCTGCCTCTTCTGCCTCGGCAACAGGGAGGTCAAGGAAGGGCACGAGCTGATTCCCGACGATCCCCCGCAGGAGGGCACGCACTACTGGCTCTCGCAAGAAAACCGCCGCTTCGAGATCTACTGCCACGCCAAACTGATGATCGGTAAGCGCTCGCCTGCCCTTCCAGCGTTTGCTCCTCCTCCATAGCTAGCTCTCTCTTTCGAGCAGCGCTCGCGGATCCGTCGTTCCGGCCATGTTTTGTTGTTTTCCTATTTAATCGCGCTCTCCGCTGGCAACAGCTGTGTCCACGTGATGGCAATCGAGTCCGTCGAGGATGATTGATGCACTTTTGATCGAGGCCAGTATGAGATGAAGGCGATCTTCTCTCAGAGTTTTTTATTCACCCCGAGCCTGCATCTTTATCTCGAAAGGGAGAAAAAAGGTGGATTTGCAAGTTTTGATTTTCCAGTATAAACAATGCGCCGCTTTAGATCGATGCGAAGCAGTCCAACCCATATCCACAAATGCGTCCCGAGGATAGAAGCGAAGGCAGGGAAGACCGAGCGGAGTCAGAGTGAATCGAGCTGATGATGCGTGCCTTTCCTTTTGCAGTGGATGACGAGTACTTGATTATTGGGTCTGCAAATATCAATCAACGGTCGATGGATGGAGGGCGAGACACAGAGATGGCGATGGGATCTTACCAACCTCAGCACACGCTGCATGGCTCGCTCTCGGACGAGGCAGGACCACGTGGGGAGGTGTATGGATTCCGATTGTCTCTTTGGTTCGAACATTTGGGCTGTCTACATCCGGAGTTCGATCACCCCGGCACTGTGAAGTGCATGCGCAAGGTGCAAGAGCTCGCAGCGCACAACTGGCAAGAGTACATCCGGCCTGCGCCCGTGCTGCAAGATTTGCCGGGCCATCTGCTGATCTACCCATTCAACGTGACCGAAGATGGGCAAGAGGTGTACACTGAATCGGGGTTCCACCACTTCCCCGACACCGATGCTCCTATTCTCGGAGCTGGAATTCCCAAGCTCCCCGGAATTCTAACCGCGTGATGAGCCCAATCTTCGCTTCACATGCTCCCGCACTCTTCCCGCGGCCGGTCGTCAACTAGGGACATTCGACTTGCTCTTCGGCAGTTAGGGATCGGGAGGGCTCGGACTGCAGAGATTCTGATAATCTCGACCGCATCAGCAAGAATGGCTCATGCACGAGCAGCGGTCAAACGTAGCCACAAGCTGCCACGACTTCTTAACAGACACCTTTGGACACCATTCTTTTCAGTCAGCAGCCGTCGCGAACGAAAGGTCCAGACTCCCGAGCGATATGCTCAGTGCCCGTCCCTTCTTCCATCCATGGAGCAGATGTACTGAATCTCCATCAGTCCCACGCAGAGCTGAAACCTTCCCCGAGCCTTCAGACAGAGGCTGTGGACTGGAATCCACTACTCAGAAACTCCTGCACCGTGAGGAATACGAAATTGTGCATAACGCCAAGCGACATGCGGGTGGATGCAGCGCTCTCTGATCCTATTTTCGGCCGATCCTAACCCTGATCGCAGTTGGAAAACCAGTCAGCTTTCGGGCGTCCATGAAGATGCTTCTCGCTGATTTGGTCTGCCGGGGTTCTTTTGTCCCTCTTGCGCGTGAGTACAAACCATAGAGTAGGATATGTGAGTGGCCGTCGCAGTGGCCCTCTGGCTCGTAAGGTGCAGTTAGTAGTACTTGTAAGATAACGGCCTTAATATGTACCGACGAAGTTCTAAACGACCATTGATGGCATCTATAAAACGGAATCTCGTTGAAGCCTTCAGGCTCAGATGAGACGCAAGTGATCCTCGCTGAACGTCCAGATGTCCTCGACTCGCGTACTGAGATCTGGGAGTAGATAATCTCGTCTGCTCGTAGCGTGAAGCGCACAATACCAGGTGGGAATCTTGTGAAGAGCATGGCGCATGAAGGAACCCGCGTCCCGACGCCATGAGAAGTGCGTACTTGCGAACTCATGGGTGGTGGACAAATTGTACCTTTCTGTCTTCCTGGGCTTCCCTCTGCCTCGTGTCTGTTCGTGTAACGTCATATGATTATATGATTGAGACTTGGGCTCCCAAGCCTTGTAATGAATGTCTTCTTGTGTTTCAGAGACAAGAATATGGTCATTTCTGTTCAGTCCCGTAAACCTGTACTGAGGCCGAGGAGGAAGAAGCAGGTAGGTAGTTGTTGTTAGGTGACATGACAAGCCAATGAATGACAAACAGATGAGCTTCGATCTACTGAGCACGTGAAAATTCTCATCATCGGCGGTCAAAAGTCCGAAATATTCCGGTGGACGCAAGTACAAGAGATACTCATGAGACAGTAGATTTTGGAATCGGCATATTCGGCCCATGGCACTACGTTCTCGTGTGAGACCGAGTGCACGGAGGAATTAAACTCGATTATTGAAGCCTAATCACCCACCTGTATGCAACAGAGCTCCCACCCTCGCCTGACGCTTCGATCGGCACGACGGACCAATGCGCGCATCGACCCATCCCGTCCTAAGCCGGGCTGCACATGCTCCAGCTTTTCCCACCCTCTCCCCCGCTAATTTAGCTGCCTCCCCGCCCGCCGTACTCCGCCTGCCTGTTGACCACCGTATGGTTCAACACCCTCCCTCCTCATCCAAGCCGCGTACTGCTCAGGGATCCAGCTTTCGCCAGTTCACTGCCTGCGTCTTCCGGCCGCTCGTAGCTCCAATCGGTCGGTCAATGGCCCCCCACCTCCCTAAAGCAACTTCCGGGTCAATTCGAAGAGAATTTCGTGCCCCCGGCTGGCCGGCGGCCGGGGAGAGATTTCGGAGGAAGACACAGAGAGGGGTGGGAGGGGGAAGTGGGCGCTAAAATAAGAGAATCAGATACGTGGAGATGGCGGTGGGCTCAAGGAACGGAGCGCGCGGGCGAGAGGGGCGCAAAAGCAATAGTCGTGCATGCCGAAGGCAAATCATGCTTACACGTGAGTCGCAGGAAAAGATGGATAAGGTGTCTCCTAACTAGTACATGGCCACCGTGGGGACAAGGCCAACACTTTTTTGACGACATTGACGGGAATGGAAAGTTGAACGCGTGTCCGCGTGTTTGTCATTAAAGCGTTTTCAAAGGCGATCGTGCTCGAGGAGGTCCGGGCGTGAGAGAGTGCGAGCATGTAACAGGGGAGGGCGGATTCTGCGTTCGGCGCCAGGGAGGTGCTGGAGATACAAATCTACTTATATATATGTGTGTATCTGTTTATGACAAATGGAACGAAGGACGAAAGAATATGGAAGTTGGATCTCACACCAAGTAACGCAAGCTTTACTATAACATCAAACGGTTTGCTGTGGCGCATCATCATCATCATCATCAAACAATCAACTCTTCACGTAAAACTGCATATTTACAATGACAGAGCCTGTAGCAACGAGATGCAATGTTCTGGGGGTGTAGGAAGTCTACACAGGTCTAGGCGAAATCTATATTGCAGCCCTCTGGCGCTGGCCATCCGTCGTTTGAATTTACTCGCCGGTGAGGCCCCGGTACGCCCAGACCCTAATTCCGAACAATTGCTCCAGAAACATGGACATCTGCGCTCTGCCCGTAGTGACATGCAACGGTTGAATGAGTCTCAAGTGCTGATGGATGCATCCCTCCCTCCCCCCACCATGGTCTGAACTCTTCCACGAGCTTGAATTGGCAAAGGAATTTCGAACTCTCCTCTCTCTCTCTCGCTCTCTCTCGCTCTCTCTATTCGACTCTGTCTCTCTCGCACCCTCTCTATCTCTCTCGCTCTCTCGCTTGCCCAACCGCAGTATCAAGCACTCTCATCACAAACTCTGCGACAAATGGCGTTCTAGGAGCACCAAATGTCCGACGTTGAATGATCGAGCCGTCTCAATCTCAATCTCAAACCTGGATATGACCCGCGCACAAAAGGGTCCGATTATAAAACCTTCCCAAGACAATATCATCAATTGTCCGTCAATTCAGCAAGTCGAGAGTATCGTATCCCATCTCAGGTTCCAAGAACAAGAAAACTTCCTACGATTCATACAGACAGACGCACGCCTTCCATCGCTGGAGGAGGCGGGGGTCCGCCCCGGAATGCCTCGCAATGCTAGCCTAGGAAGACTGCAATCGCGGCCATTCGTTTCATGGTTCGATTACTTCGGGGTAGTATCGTCATCGATATCGTGCCCGGCGTCAGGCTCCGAGTCTCCGTGCCCTTCGCCTTGTTCTCCTTCCGGAGGAACGTACGAAGATCTCCTGGCGGGCAGCATCTGATGCGGGGTCGGTTGAAGTTTAGGTCGCAGAGCCTCCATGGGGCTGCGGTGGGGCTTGGCTCCCGATGCCCCGTGCCCTCCCTGCTTGCCCAGCGCCCAGTCGGCCGAGTCAAAAAATGCTCGCTCGTGATCCTTGGAAATCAGAGGAGGTTTCTTCGGGATGAGGTTGCCGTATTTCTTCTTCAGCATGGCTTCCTGCTGCTGCGGGGTTGGCATTGCCTCCTCGTCTGAAGGCCGCTCTGCCTCCTGGCTGCTGCCTCCGGCACCCGCACCCGCCATCACGATCTTCGATTCGCCTGCGCGAAATCTACACTGCGGCCCTCCCGATCCGCCAGTATGCGTATACAGCAGCGGCGCAACCTCGAGCACCCGCACAACGAAACTCAACGGAAGGCCCCGAGCAGAGCAGAGCAGAGATGAGAAGACGAGACGACCGGCGAACTGAAGAGCTGCTGCTGCTGCTGCTGCACCACCACCACCACCACTACCACGACCGAGGATCCCAACAAATTCTACCTCAGACTCGTCGCGCTGCTGCTGGTGCTGCTAGTACCTCCATCTCCCAATCGGCGCTGACATGCCCCCTCATCACTCCCTCTCGCTCTCCCTCCCTCGCTCCAGTCCAGTCCAGTCCAGTCCACTCCCCTGCAAGGCCACGCCTTCGGCAGCAGCAGCGGCCGCCGGACACAGCAAGAGTGAGATGCCAACTGCTATGCAAGGACGAATTGGATGATCTGATAATCTGCCCCTTGACTGTGGGTTGTCTTCCACCTGGGGAGATCACGCCCCCACTCTGCTCTGTGCTCTGCTCTCTGCTCCTCCCTGCCCCGCCCTGCTCCCCTTCCTTGTCTTCAGTTCCGCTCGCCTGCTCTCAACTCGGCTCAGCTCGGCTCATGTCATGCCAGGGGCATCTTCATCCGATCCGAGGGCCTAGTTCACTGCAGCTGCTCCAGCACCCCCCCACCTCACCTCACCTCACTCACTCACTCACTCGCTCCACTCCTCTCCTCTCTCTCCCTCTGTCCCTCTCTCTCCTCACGTCATTGACCTCAACCCAGTTCGCTCCAAGGGGGCTGTTGGCTCAAGCCTCAGGCTCCAGAATCATGACAAACTCCACATTCTCTGCAGGTCGTGGTGTTACTGCACGGTGCAGGGTCAAGCTTAGGTCACAATTCAAATTCCATCGAGAGATTTTCCTGCTTAATAGCGCAGATTTAGGCGACTCTTGCTGCTGCTGCTGCTGCTGCAGCTGCAGCTCTACCGGACCATCGCAGGCTCGACGGCGACGACGCCATCCGCCACCGTCAGGCGTTGTGAGGCTGGATGGAGTCCTCGGACGACGCGGCGGCGACGGTGCCGTTTGCGGGCCAACGTGGGGACCGGAGACTGGGGACCCGGTCAGTCGGATGGACGGATGTAAGGGGGTCTGTATGGGCGTGGCATTGGCCTCCCGGTGCTGACTTTATTTGTCCGCTTTTTGGTCGATGATTGCGCCAACGTCCGGACTCCAGTGTGACACAATGACGGGCTCGAGGATCCGCGCGCAATCGCGACTCAATTCGCTTTGCCCACGCCCGAAGTCCAGATCTTTCGCGGCCCTTGACTGCAACGCGGTGCGAACGTGGTGCGCAGCTTCTTTCGCTCTGTACTGCTCTGCCTCCGCTCGCACCGACCATTCCAAGAACGCCTGCCGCTTCTGCTCCTGCTGCTGCTGCCCGCCGCTCCGTAACTGTGCTTCCATGGTAAACGCTTTCTTCGGTCAGGTCGTTGGATGGTGCCTGTCTGCGCAGTCGTTGCTGAGTCATCCGGGCCCTGCCCTGCTGAAAGTAAATCTCCGTTTGACTGAATTTTATTTATTTCGTGTCGGTGCACATTTGACTGAAACTGTCGATTGCTGGGCGAGTGCGTGTGTGTCAAATCGAGCTGCTGGATTGAATTCGGCGCAAGTGTCACAAGTGGTCGTACACTTGTTCGTGTTCGCAGAGAGTTCACCCGTTTTCTTGACTCATGAGTTCGAGTTCAGAATTCCGTAGCGCAGAATGGACTGTGTCTCCACTTGTCGAGTGGCAACTGATGCAACGCGCTTGGCAGCCGCAGGCACATGCACACGCACACCGACGGAGATTTCTCACGATGGGACTCTGTAAGTCTCTGAACTCCGCCTTCCTCGCTCTGCCCGTTTCACTCTGTACGTGTTCGTGCACAATCGAGTTGTTCCATTCTGAGCTGTAATCTATGCGGTGGCGTTTCGTTCCGTTCTACGTTTCATCTGCGGAGTCGCGTGCATTGCGCTGGCGCATGATCCGCCTAATGCACGAATCTCTTGCATGCAGAATTGGTGGACTGTATCCAGAATAGCGGACCAGATCACTGTTCAGAAATTCGTGGACGAAAGCTCAGAGTTTGCTCTCATGTTTCAAGGTCGCTGTTTGCAGGAGGTTGAGTAGCCGAGTGAAGATCCGCTGACTTCCTTCAAGAGGTAGATACGCCAAGAATCTACTTTCCACATAACAGATCATGCTAACAAGCCATGACGTTCAGGTTTGGAGCCGTATTAATAGGATGAGATTTTTTAGCGATGGAAGGCATTAGTCACTTGATGCTGGCCGGGTGGGTGGTGGGGGCTGTGGGATGCTCACGGAGAGCAACGGGTGCACATGCAGTGCTCTCTAATAGCAGGTTCAGTTGTTTATTGTCTCTCTGTAATCTGGTTCATGTAGTGTTGTTATTCCGTTCCCTGGATTCTTGCTTTCAAGTTTGCCGTCAATGTACGGGTTAATTAGTGTTCCGTACCTGAGATGCGTGTTCATGAGATCAAACAATCGCAGAGCTTTGCGCAGAAGACAGAATTATATACATAAATGCACGTGTACAGCATGAGTCTCGGTTTCTTTCCCTTTGAAAACGCGAGGGACTTAGACAACCCAAATGTTTAGCGGAACAGAGTTGCAGTCAGTTGCTTGAGCTCTTCTGTTTCATCTCCATGTATCCCCTTGTGCTCGTGAAGTAAATGTAGTTATTTTTTCGGTTCATTTATACATGACCTAGAAACTGCGAGGAAAATTGAAACGAAGCCTACAGGCATGTCAGTCAGGTATGAGGTATTCCAACGAAGGAAATCTTTTATGCTTCAGTATGTAAGTGAGCGAGTGTATAATGTCGTCAGGGGTGAAACTGATGAGGCGTCCCGTTACTGAACAATTTAAGATCTGCTCTGGTCAAGGTAGCCATTTATATTGAGGGCATGTCAAGAGACTGAACGTGAATAATGTATATGTTCTGTCACAAGCTTTTGTCTTATGATGATGATACGTTTCTCATGCATATGTCAAGGCATTTATTCCTGCTACCATGTGAAGAGTGAAGACTAGCTGATTGTAAAAGAACTTACAGTTGTACTCTCTCAGGATTGCTACTGATTTTATTCGCGATAAGTCTGTGCAGAAAGGTTTGTGGAGTAACAGCTGGGCAGAGGTAGAGTGACAATCTGAAATAATGGGAAGCTCACATAAGAAGAAGGTATCTGAGCTGGAAAAGATAAATGATCCCAACTTTATCATCGAGCTTGCAGTCGGACCTCCCATAGCGGAGTTGGTCCCTCAAAATCCAGCAGCGGGTGACGGAGTTACTTTGGGTGGCAAATTTTTGAACAAACCAAGTCGATTCATTTTCAAGAAGGCACATCTGACAGCCGACGACAATCGGATATTTGATGCTGATACTGGACAATTAGTTTGTGTTTCCCATCATTACGGAAAGAACCCATACGAGAGTTTAGACCCGCTGGGTATTTCCGGTCAAAATGATTATTGGCAGAGAAGCCATATTCTCGGAGAGTGGGAATCCGTCTGTCACGTTACTGGGTACCGGGGAATGCCCAGCTTCAAAGTGAGGCCAAAAACATTTTCTGTTCACGGAAGGCAGTACATACAAGACAACAGAGGAGAACATACCTTCTTTAACATAGCCAAGCAGTCTCGGATGAAGTCTATGTCTATCAGACATAATCTCGTGGTCTGCAAAGGTGAAACGGAGGATGACGTTTATGCTATCCTAGTGGACATGGCTGGCCGAACGATGCAGGTGGTAAATGAGAAGGAAGAAAGAGTGGCGCACATAGAAAAATCAATGAAGACTCTCTTGATGAATGCCGCTTTGGGAGCAGGGTCTGAACTGATGATTGATATAGCACCTGGAGTAGATTGGACGGCTATTTTGGCTATAGTCATAGGATTGAAACAGGTAGGAGAGCACTTCTTGAAGGACGCCGTGAGTAACTTTGTTTTAAATCCAGCACAGAATGCAGCTCAGGACTACGTGCTTGATGTAACGGGTATGCAGGAAGTTGCCGGTGACGCTGGTCATATTACCGACCAGGCCATACGCAGCCTCAACGTCTTTCAGCAGATTATGAGAGAGTTTTATCACTAGGCCGAACGGTAGGCCGAACGGTACATAGCTGTCGAAAATTTGTTCAGGTTACTGTATGTCTCGCTTCTTGCCTGATATATTTATTCAGCCCTTCCAATTACTTGAACCGTCATCATTATGCCTGATAGTAATAACCATACCCGCATTGTACACTTTGTAGGTCTCATACATATAGCAATGTTTGTAGTCCTGATCATTTATAAGCAATTCAAAGCCTGTTATAGGTGGTGTACAGCTACTACGTTCAGTCAACAGTAAAAAACAATCCAGAATCTGATATTCACTCTACGTTTTCTGGGTAAATTTACGTCTTCGATCGGTTTTTTCATGTAATATCTTACAGGAATAACTATTGGATATCAGTTTTATTAATGATTGTAGTCCTTATCATTGTCCCAGCATTTCGTTTCTTTCAGACCAAATCTCCTACAGTACCAAACGACCAGGCGACATTTGGCGGAGACAATTTTCTCCGTAGGAGGCTTTGTAGGAGACAAATACATCATTGGTCATTATATCTCTTACATATCCCTGATCATCATCCGGGCTCTGAGATCTGTATATTGACATCCGAATAACAGAAGATTCTTCTTAATATTAGTAGGTTCAGATGTGTAAAACTGGAGTATGTGGCTTCAGAGTCCGTTTCGACTCGTCGAACTTATGCTGAACACGCCCGGAGACAGGTGTGTGGGATTCTTCGAGTAGTTACTCTTTTAGCTATGTAGAGAAGGGAGTATATTTTTTGGTTCTGTAAAATTTGCAATGTCTGACAATCAAATATCAAATGTCATGGAGGTCAAAGCAGGTCCTTCACCTAGAAGGGATTTTATATTGAACGAGAAGCTTGCAGCAAGAATAATGAACTGAAGGCATTCATCAGTAGGAAATGATGATTGAATCTGAGCCATCAAGAAGTCTTAACAGAAAAATTTTAAGTACCTTCGCCTGTGCTCAAGATATTAGGATGCTGCTTATGGTTGTTCCACCAAGTTGGCCACCTGGGAGTCAGATTATGAAACTCGTTTTTTCATATCTGTAGGGAACAGTTTTGGCCGTGCTTTCAGTGGAGAAGCAGAAGTTTTTTTCGATCCAACATAGAAGTGCAGCGGAAGTTGTGTTTTATATGTGGTTCCTCTCTTCTTTTGTTGATCACTCAACATCGATAATTGCACTTGAAACTCGGTGTTCAAATTTGTCAGGTTTTGCCCTCTTAGGGTTGCTGCCAAACAATCCGAGTTATAATCGTCTTCCAGCTGCTCGTTGCTGCAGGTATTTTGATTATCATCCTTAGCTTCCTCTAAATCCTGTTTGGTGGAGTTGGTAATTGGATTTTGTCTTCATAACAATCTCCATATGTTGTCCCCGCTTCCACTCTTTTGTCTTTCACATACTAGCTCAGCTCTTTGCCCAGTGCATCATCTTTGTTTCTTTCTGATACTGTCTGCGTTCTCCTTTCGTACATAATCAATTCATTGTCAGACCTTTTGTGTAATTTAATACTTGCTACTTGATTGATGTTTCTATGTGTCTTTGAAACATATCAAAGTCTTTCTGTTTGTTTTATTTTTAAGTGCAGCAACCATCGTTTCACCTTGGCTTGTTGAGCTTCGAGTTCTCTCAGCCCCCTCGTGGTCCGATGCAGAAACCTACGCTCCTTGGTATCCTGTGATGAAGCAGACGTGTCCAAGTCGAGAAGTTATGCTTTCCGTTCAAGAAATATCAGTGATGGTCATTACAGACTTTCTTACGTTAGACTGGATTCTCTATACTGCACACTTAGTTTCCACCATCTTCAGTTGGACAGCCGGTCCCCGCCATGTATTTCACCGTTTTACTGCTTCTCGGCACTTCGTATTTATGCGTTTGTTTGTCTTTCGTTTTTTAGATCCTTAGTTCGTACATGACACGTCTCAGTTTTACCATCACTCTCTCCGATTTCGTTCTATTAGTGTATTTCATCGGTACCTGTGAAACGTAAAACGTTGATTTGCGTTGCTTCGGTCTCCGACATGCTAAGCCCTTGCGGCTTAATATTTACTATATATATGCCTGTACTATGATCTGCCCTTCCCATCCGCTTTTGCGATACGTCCTTTTCATCGAAAAACCCCGTCTTTGGAGCGCCTTCACCTTTCACATGTAATTTAGTGGAGTTCAGAGAAATTCCTCTGGCTTATAGTTTAAGCATTTTGACAACTTGTGTGCACTTGCTCAGCGACTTTTCGTGGCTTTGAGACCTTCTGTAGCATTTAAAAATCTTGACCTCCCTGGTGCATTTTTATGCAAGACAAGTCAGTTGGTGCTCTTATTGTTTCTGGGATGATATTTTGGAATAATTCCTTCTGTAGTGATTTAAGCCGACTTTGACATATTTTGGAGCTTTTTTCCAAACTCAAGAAACACTGTGAGACTCTCCATAATCAACTGCATGGGATCGTACTCCTTCACAAGTTTGTCATGCCGATCGTACGATATAGTATCGAGTTTACATTTCTGTCATGCTCTGTCAAAGTGCAGCGTATCAGGATGAAGTGCCGTGCTCGAAAGAGACCTTGGGTATTTGTCATGTGTATGAATTACATATTTCTCTTCTTCATTAGACGCGTTCCTCAAGTCCTACTGGCAGGTAGAAGTTGTACATTTTGTAAGGACCGTCGTCTGACTCTGAGATGATACGCCTGAAGTTGAACATGGCATGTTCAACAGCTGAACATGTCATGTGTCGTAGTAAGAGTTCTACACTCTCCAACCGTAGCTTGAGCTAACATCAAATCGACAAGAATCTGTGCTTCCATTGCTATACTTGCATTAAGCTAGACCCGTGTCATGAATGTTTGCACCTTTTGAGCCTATGAAAATAAATGTTCAAAAGCAAGTGTTCACTGTCATTTGTTCACAAAGGCGCGTAACCTTTAAGAATCAGATTGTATCGTATGAAGACAGGTATATTTCCAATTGTATATGATGTGGAGTGGGTATATGATATACCCACTCCACATCATAAGATATACCGTGTATCTTATGAATTATTTTCCCTCTGCGAGTAAGTAAAAGATGTGCACTGTACGACGAAGCGCAGTCAACGTCTTCGACCATTGCCACTTGTTGTAAGCAGTAGTCAAACAGTGCTTAAAAGGATGCGTGGCCAAAAGTCGCTGACATCATTTGGCGTCGTTGGTCAAACTTCGGCTCTCTTACTTGAAAGAGGAAAACTCACCTTTGACAAACTTTTAACTTTTTGTCTGATAACAGACCTGTCGATTAGAGACCCAGGTCGGTCCTTCCATGGTGACTTTGGTACAAGTCAATTTGACCGTGCTTACTCACATCCATTCATATAGATAACACATATATACTCTTTCAGAAGATAAATAGTTGAAATTTGAGACGGTGAAACTGCGAGATAGAATGCATGTAATGAGAACATGTATCAATCACAGTAGATACAGCAGTCAACACAATGCGCAGTACAAGTGCATAGAAAGTAGGGAATCAATTAGGCTCGGGCAATTTATATGTTGAGCTCTAAAGAAAATGGTAATGAGTATTACTGCAGGACTTAAAAAAGGTTTGACCACAAAAAAAGAAAAATATCTACAGGGATACTCTTACATGTGCTCATAGTAAATCATATTGAATTCAGGTGCAACCGAAGAAATCGTGAGTATTTGAAAAATAAATAACTCGATATTTAAGATGAATACATACAAAATGACTCCCTAATTGAAGAGTTTCATTTGTAAGTTCCAAGTGGATGCTACTCGTAATGTGTTAAGGTTTCAAAGAAATATCTAAGTGAAGCAAAGGATATTTTGTTAAAGCTCCAACAAAACTTGATTGATAAATAATACCTGCACTTCATGTGAAGAAATTTTTCACTCAAGATCAGATTGCATCTATATAGTTGACGTGAAAAATGGCAGAAAAAAAATTAAAATTCAAAAATCAAATTGCAACATATTCCTTGTAATTATTATTCGGAAGTAACAATGGAGATTTCAGGGTTGTTCTTGCTTTAATCCCTCACAACCTGGAACTATTAATTATTACTTGTTGTCTTATTTGCTCCTAGTCACGATGGGGACCATAGTTTTATTTATCATCAATTTGCTGATGTCTGTTCAGAAATGCCGGACAGTCGCTGACTGATTCACTTTATGACTGCCTTGACGCCAGAATCTCAAGGTGATGATGTCGATTTGGAAATGCTTGCCTGAACTTTTTTACGACTGCCCTGATGTCAGAACCTCAGGGTTATGAAATCTAAAAAATTTTGCACCGGTCTACCATATACGTTCTGCAAACTTGCAGACTTTTAACTCATGGGTTGCATCACCTTTCTTTAGCGGAACTCAAATTTCAGTCCCTTTCAATCTAGATGGTTTCCTATCCCTTCCGATTGCTTGCCTACATTTGGAACAAGAGTACGTCGTTCACTGCACCCTACCCTATTTGATAATATAAGATACAGGCCTAATCCCCACGATTGATTTAGCTCTCGTTCCTCTCTGCAGTGTACCTATCTTGACAAGTAAATAATAACGAGTAACATTTTTATATGGTTCTATTACAGGCTTAAGACTACTCGCTCTCCTATTCTGAACCCCAGGCCCTAATTATCATGCTATCCGTTCAGTCTTAGAAAATTCTCCTTCTGCATGCAACTTCTCCTAAATTATATCAGATGATATTTGATATGGCAGGGGATAACGTGTAGGATTGTAACTTGTGTATCACTGCTAAAGCCCGATAATGGGTAAGACTAGGTTACAGGTATCAAACCACAGTCGCATTTGGCAGTTACATATAGTTTACATGGTAAGCATATCAATTATTATCATTTGAACTAAACCTGGGTCGATTTGTACTATCATCATGTTCAATATGCACTTTTACCTTAATCTTCAGTACCTTACAGTAGACCAAAAGTGCAAGATTAACTTTTTCTCAGTCTCTGTTTTGTTATTTAACCCTTCGGCTTCCACTTCTGGAACACCTTGCACTTGTACCAGGTTGATATAGCCAGGTTGAACTGTATTATAGTAAGGTGTAATCGACAATTTGAAAGTGAATTCTATAATTTGTGTTACAAAACTAAAAGAGAAAAGCAACATTCTAGCCTGATGAGTATTCTAGCTTATAAGGTTCACATGTAGTAATAAAGAAGAGATAATAATGCTTCAAATGCATAGATTCTAGAAGACATGAAATGAATTTTAGTTGCATCATAAATTTTTCTTAACTGAGTTTTTATTTGGGGAAACTTTCATACATTTTTTTACAATTAAAGAGCTTTTACAATCTAAGCTACATTAAAGCATGGTGCGCTAATCCAAGCGCACCATGTATAGGAAGTACAAGTGCTTTCACTTCTGTAGTATGTTTTGAATCTATACTATCTCTATAGTCAATAAACTTTTGAATTACATGGTAGCAAATAGTAAGGTCCATGAAGTGTGCTGTTTAGTTTTGTGAGCATACT